TTTTTGACTACGGACTTACTGTCGATTCTGTAATACGTCACGGATGAGCCGTGTTGCGGGTGTAGCAAAATGCCTAGAAAATCCATAGCCTGGTAAATCCAGGGCTCTGCCTTGCCGCTGCTTTTAAAGGCGTTTGGACCGCAGGATTTGGCCCCTTTTCACTAATTCATCTGGTTTACTTAAATTATCTTTTTTTTTTAGCTTTTAGGTTAGGACTTTAAAATTTGGTGCTTATGCACTTGGGGGGGTCCAGATTTTGACTACGAGACGCTCCAAATGCCGTTTCCAAACTCTAAGCCTCTGGAAAAGCAAAGCTAAGCCTAAGCTTACAATTAGGCTTGGCTTCATAAAAAAGAAGTCAGAGCCTAGCTTGATCCAAGCTTAGATTAGCTCTAAGCTAAACCTAAATCATCCCATTTTGACCTGGTAAGGTATTTTCTGAATTTTAACTTATCTGGTTCCTTGAGGACCCTCAAATTTAGCATTTTTCAAAAGATTTGTCTAAAAAATTTAAACGTATTTCATAGCCAGCAATGCCCTTTTTCGGAAAGCCTCGAGATGTTGCCGTAGGAGGGCCCAGGGCCAATTTGTGGCCCCACCGTGTGTTTGGTGGAATTCGTGCTTTTCTTTTCCATTTCCTGTCTCTCTTTCTTGCCTCCCTTTTCGACATACTCGCCGTGGGCCCTCCCAATCTCATCACGACATACACCTCCTCCCCCCTTTCCGCCCAAATCCTGTTTCCGGTCCCCTGGCTGGGAGGAGACTGACAGGGAGGAGGAGCTGCGAGACGCAGGAAAAACAGACAAACGGATAGATAGACATACGAAACCACAATCAGAGTATTGGTCCTTTTTACTCTGGGATGGCATGCTAGCAGTGATTTTTGGGGAAATTGGGTTGAATTACCGTGAGCTGTAAGGATTTCGATGTCTTTGACGTCTTAGGAAGCAAACTAGCAGAGGTTATTTGGGAAATACGATTGAATTAAACTAAGATATAAGAATTACGATGCATTTCTTACCGTAGTGAGCAAGCTAGCAAAGATTTTTACGGAAATTCCGTCAAAATACCTATAATTTGTTGCCTTTTGATCGTTTCCTACTAAACAAGGCCAGCTAGCAGAGGATATTTGCGGAATTTTGGTCTGTAGATGTTTAAGAGTTTAAAGGTGTTGAGAAGGCAACTAGCTTGAACATCTCCAGAATGCTGTAAACTCCAGAATACCCTTTCTGTCGGCTAGGTCTCGACAGCTGCACCTTGCTTCTACATCATCTTTAAACTCATTTTGTCGTGCGTATTTCGACGTAAGGTGCAAGGTGAGGCACAGAGAGTCTCGCTCTCCTGATTTTGTCGAGACCTAATCACGTGAAGGGGTCGATTCTGACACTTCAGAGCCCCTTTAAAAACTTTCCTTGACTTCCAGGTCCCTTTAAAACCGGATAAGTCCTGTAGCTTCGTCCCAGAAGTTTGATCTGTGCCTGGAAATCTTTGCTTCCTTCTTCGCTCCCACTTGTTCTCTCCATTCCTCAATGTGTGCCCTGGGGCTATTTGCCTTTCTCTTCTTCTTGTGCCGATTGCGGCTGCGACTGGGCGCTGTTATCCATAAATCTCGCCCTTTTTCTCCTTGACCCCCCGGGACACCTCCTCCTCCACGCAACCGAAGACGAAGGGGAAGAGCAGGAGAAGAGGAAAGTGGTCCTGGTGATGGTGGTGGTGCCCTTTAGTCACCTTCTTGTACTTCATCCAGCGGTTTTTTTTTGATCTATACAAGCTATTCAAATCTTCGATTTGTTTGGTATTCCGCCGGCTCTCAGGACCCTTCAAACCTGCCACTAATGTATCAGGTTTTCAGCCCATACAAATTTAAAGGACCGTGAAAGGCATATTCCTATACCGTATTGAGGCCGACTTATCCATTACGTTATGTTAATTGCATTGATGTTGGTGTGGGTGCTCTCTTGTCAAGTTATATTACTTCAGCAAAGTGCTTTTGCAGCTTCAAAACTATAGAAATCCTTGAATTTCGCCTGCCTTGACTTTAAAAGACCTTTAAACCACCTCTACGGCATTTCAAGAAACTTAAAAAGGCAAAATTCTCTGCCCTATCTCTGCGTTGAACCAATTGGTTACGCGAAGAAAATGATGAAAAAATTATGAGGCTGCTGTATCTTCAGTCGTACATTAATGAGAGCTTGTGGGGCGTTCGGCTTTAAAATTTCGTGGCGTAATCGGTATGGCGTAACGTTCTAAAGGAGCCAGCAAACGCCAAAATCCACCCCTCTAAGTTCCTAGCCCTCGACAACTACGTAATGCGGCAAAAACGTTAAAATTTCATTTAAAACCGCCGATCAACTCATAGGGGGCAAATTCTTAATGCCGTTCTAGGCGTCTTTTGGGGCTACACGTAGTTGTCGGCGTTTAGCTGATCGTGAAGGTGGATTTTTGGGCTTCACTGGGCTGCTAATGTTTCGTGTTTTAAATTCGTTAAAATGCCGTTTGCAATGAAATCGTTTTCTACTTGGTTCTTCCCTTTTTTCGGCCCTGTAATCCCGTCCCGGCTGCGGTGAGTCGGGGGCTATTTGCCGGTCAATTAGCCCCGTCGAATGTTATCATAGTCGTACCGGTTTCTTCCTCTTCGTTTCTTCCCTGTCAACTTTCCATACCGCGGCCAACGGAGATCGTCTCCCGAACAAATTGTTGGTTTTTCTCCTTTTCCCTCATCCTGCATTACCGTTGCAATTTGCCATCGATCATGGTAGGTAAAGAATCGTCTTTATATATACTAAATCAGGTAGACTCTTTACTTTTCAGCGTTTCAAATTTTTGACAATTTTGGAGAAACTGTCTTTTAGAAAATCTAAATTTTCTACTGTTTTGAGTATGTATGAAGGGCAAGTCCTTCTGCTAAGGTTTTTTCCAAGGTTTTGGATAATGAATAACCTTATTTGTCCTACAACTTAACTATTTTTAAACAAGGCTTTCACTTATTTTTATTACTTCCGGTCTCGGTGTAAAAATACTTCCCAAAGGAATTATCCGGCCGTTTTCCGATTTTCGTGCTTTTGCGCCTTCCACTTTCCCATTGTTTAGCCGGGTCCTTCCTTGCGTGGGGCTTTTCGTGTTTTTCCCGGAAATAATTATCCAAGCGTGGACTTCAATTTTTTGCCAGCTTTACGATTTTAATTTTATCCTTTCTGAGTTTTAAGCCTCTTGATACCGATCTTTAAGGCTTAGCATAAATTGGAAAGTACGCAATCGACCTCTCTATCGCCTGGGTATCGACAAAGCAGTAACCAGCAATTTAAATAACCGGGACCTAGCTAACGATTACATCGGGTTTAGCGTTTTCAGCTCTTATTACAGCTTATTTTGTATTTATCCTAGCGCTTTATGCTAAAGTTACAAGATATTGCTGTAAAATCTTAGTTCCAGCGGATTCGGTCCCTTTAAAATTGTTAGGCTTGCAAAATTGAAGTCCACAAGTCCCTATTTTTAATGCCACACTTCCCGATTTACATGCCGACAAGACCACCCTGCTGGCACGCTCCCTTTAAAAACTCTGACTTAAATACTCGGTTTCAGTATAGCGCTTAAAGCGCACGTTCAGGGAGGGGCCGTGTACTCGTCCCAACGTGTACACCTACACCCTATGGACGTAGAGACCGCGCGCACTGCCTGCCCGGGCGGTGACAGGCCATTCCCCTCCTTTGCGGCGTGGGGCGCCCCTCGTCCCCTCGCCAGGTTATAGCTGTGGCTGACTGGTATCCATCCGCGCCTCCCGAGCGGGGGCCCGGGTCCGACCCCCGGCCGCGGCAAAAAATCTTTGCTTTTTCCAAAAAAGCGTCCTTGAACGTGCCCTTTAAAGTAGCATTATCATTCCTTCTTCGTACATACATTTCCTCCTCCCCTTCCCCCAAAAAGTTCTGATTCTTTTCAGCAGTGGACCTGAAAAGAGGGGTGGAGAGTGGTTGTGCCTGCTTCTTCTTCTCCGCCCCTGCCCTACCCCCCATCGAATATTCATGAAAATTCGCTGGGTGTGGGCCCTAAGGGGTGGAGGAGGGAAAGGTCTCAACACGGAAAAAGAAGAACACTTTTCTAGGGCCCACCCCTGGCTGGCCAGTGGGCAGCACCCCGCGCAAATTGCCCCCGTTAGTCTAGGCAGCCAAAACTGGGCCCTCCTATACCAACCTCGGCGCTTTTTGCCTCCCTCCCGGGCCACCTGGTAACAAATTGGGGGTGTGGGGTTGTGTGGCTGATTTTTTTTCTGACTGGCACACCGATTTTGTTTGTAGCATTAAGTTGGAGACAATTACGATAAGATCGCATCGTTGGATTTTTCGGGCTTGGTTTCTTCAATTTTTCGTATCTCCAATTTTTTGACCGATAACGATACTCCTGACCCTGCCTGTCTCTGTCTCTCTCACTCACGCTCTCTCTCACTTTTTCTATATCCCTCACTCTTTCTCACGCTCTCTCGCTTTGTTTCGCTCACTCTCACTCGCGCTACCTTTCTCTCTCTATATCTCTTTTTCTCTCTCTCGATCGCTCTCTTTTTTCTTTCTCTCTGGCTCCCTCTCTCTTTTTCTCGCGCGCTCTCTCGCTCACTCTCTCGCTCTTTCGCTCTCTCTCCCTCTCTCTTTATCGCTGTCTGAATAAAACTTTATGGCAGCCGAAATTCGATTTATCTGATCAGGTCAAAGGCAAGCCAGCCGAGATCATTTGTGGATTGCCAGCTTGGAAAAAGCCAGTTCTGGCCAGCTAGCAACGTTTCTTTGAGATCACATTTTTTACGTCTAATTCTCTTTGGAACCTTGCAGAATGTTGGCAGGTTCTTTTTTCTCCTCCTGTCCCCTACAGCCATTCCCGTTTTTCGTGCTTTCCAATCGCTGGTCCTCAATCCCTCGTACCGTCGACCAATTAATCTGTCAATTGCAGAGATCTACGGCCAGCAGAAGAGCGTCCTCAAAAAACCTTCTCCTCGCTTTTTTGCCTTCCCAAAAATGGAGACGATGGCTGGGAGGAGCCTGGCGTTGGCCGAGTTGATGGCCGAGGGGCGGATCCCGGATGATGGCACCAGTCTCAGGTAAGTAGGAAAAAAGAGAACGATAGTGGAATACGATAGTGGGTTAGGAGCTCTCAACTACTCCCTAAAAAACCCAAAGCTGCTCGCAAAAGCTGTGTGAAAATTGCCGTTTCTCCTTCTTCCTAGCTCCTTCTCTTACTCACGAGTTTTTCGATCTTCTCTCCGCGATAAAATTAACCCGAAAATCCGATTTCGCGGTACAATATCTGCTGACTATCACTTAACTTGCTTTTTTTCAGCTCTCAACAGCGCCGGAAATCAAATTCTAACGCTCTAGTTTGGTAGCATTCCTTCTAGTCGATGGCCTTTCCTGCAAATACTCCAACTTAGGGGTGCTCGTCAAAAATTTTCAAGCTAACAAGAAGAAGAATTTTAGCTTGAACTTTAGCTTATAAGCTAACAATTCTTATTGTAAGAATGGCCACACAGTGCTTTGAACCCTTTTCGGGTTTTTCAAAATTTAAAACTTGGCTTTTCAGTGCCCTCAACAACAACCACCATCCGGAGATGAGCTCAATATCGCTTGGGTTCTTGAAGTCGTTCTCGGCAGGGCCCGAATCCGGTCAAATTTCGCATGCTTCGTCGCTCGAAAGCTTGGATTCAAGTCCTGGATCGTTGCTCAACCATATGGGAAGCCAGGTGAGAGAGAGAGAGCGAGAGAGGGAGAGAGAGAGAATGAGAAAGGAGAGAAGGAGAGAGGCATCGAAAGAGAGAGAGAGCGATCATGAAAAATAGCTAGAAAATGTAAATTTCATTAATTTCCATTGTCAGGAACCCGACGACGGATCCACCTCATGCTCCGAAGATTCTTTCGAAATGTCTTCAACCTGCTCTACGCGAGACACCCCTGGCCACTCACCGCAGCGAGAAGGAACTTCATCTTCTTTCACTTCCGGCGGCAGCGAGTACAAGTTTGTTTTTACCTTTTTCTCCATTTTTGAAGTGTCTGTCACCCCTATGCAAATTACAAACCCTCGAAGGCCAAAAATCTGGGGTGTATTCACGGGGGTTTGGCGCGCGGGAGTAGCCAGTGACTACTCGACGCGTCTATTCACGCGGTATAATCCACTTGTTTCGTCCTTTTGGAAGGTTCTGAAGGGATGGGTAACGGCAAGAAGGGGAGGGTGACTTCTCACTTCCAAACATAGCCCCTTCAGGATTATTTCTAACTTCGAGTAGGCTCTTAGTCAAAAATTCACCTCTTGAAAGACCTTTGATAGCTTGCTGGTGTCGAAAATTGTACGAATCTGAGCATCGGTTTTTGAAATCGGAAATTCGCGTCTACACGCGTGCGCGTAGCTGGCATTGGCCCTTTAAAGTTAAATCAAAGCTCGATTTCAGGCAAATTCTGAAGTCCTGTGGCCCAAACTATGGATTTTGCCATCCAAGTCCCTCCAGACAAATTGTTAGGGACAAATCGACCCCCTTGAGTTGACCAGGTTTCGACAATTCCGTGCGAAGCCAAAGTAAAAGAAAATCCTTGGATTTTTCCGGAAGTTCTAGACGTTCGCCGCTTTACACGGCGCTTAAAACTCGTCATTTGGTTTCACGTGTAGTTGTCGAGACCCAATCGACAAACGAGGGTAGATTCCAGCGCTTTCCAAACCCTTGAAAGCAGTTTCGTGACCTCAAATCTGGCCTAACAAGCTATGCCGTCGTATTTAGAAAAAATATCCGTTCTTTGAATTGAATTTGCATATTTTCCAGGTTGGACCCCGAGTCTTCGGTGGCCCCATCCCGAGAAGGTTCTTCCGGACGTGATTCTGTGGTCGGAACGCTACCATCAACTTCTTCACTCTTGTTACTACGAAGACCTCCCTCAACTTCCATCAGCATGGATTCATTTTTGTTGAAGGTAAATAAAATGAAGCAGTTTTACCGTATCAATAGCAGCAGTGACAGTAATATGGTAATAAGTCGGTAATCTTAAAAAATTAAAAATGATAATGAGCCCCTAGAGAGTAAGCCTAATCCTGTGCGTGGTTTACGGCAGACAACCCGGAATCTGATCATGACGCCTCATAGGAAGGGGCTGGGGTGTCAATTTTATGTCTAGACGCAGGGGAGAAATATGCAGAATATTTTTGGTGGATCATGTAGTTTTTTAATGATATCTGACCTTTCAAAGTTACTTTGGAGCCTTTTACAACATACTAAAATCTTCTAAGGCATTTTGAGACGACAGAGCAAACTTTTTAAACGGGAAATTTATTTTTAGGGTCTAAAGAATTTTAAATTAATCGATTACGGTATGAATTTTGTTTCAGGACCGGATAACAAACCTCCGGGAAAGCGTCGACGAGCTGGACACGAATATGCCGACACTGGATTTTGATCGGCTCGAGAAACAGCTCCAATCGGCCGCCAAGGAGCGCGAGGACTCGGAGAGGAGATGGCTGGGTGAAGAGGTTGGCTTTTCGGAGTTAATGTAGAACCTAAGAAAACGTCACAGGCAGGAATCGAACCATTCTTTTTACTTTACCTCTACTTTTTTACTACTTTTACTTTTACATCTTTTTACGGAAAATAGAAAAAAATGGGACTGGCACAGGATTTTCTGAATTTTTTTTGACCGAAGCTTGGTGTCACTTTCCCTTTAAAAAGACAGATTTTCCCATTTATTGCAGCTTCGTGGAACCTAAAATTTGACATCAAAAACCGCTGCGACCCCTCGATTCTGAACTTTGCCCCCCCGTTTCAGGCTTTTCTGCCCCTATTTTCGCATAAATAACCAGCCGTGTCTGAATTCGAAATGACAACCCGGGGCCGCTCGTCGGCCCGGCCTTCGACACGTGTCTGCCATTTTTCGCATTTTTCTGGCCTGAAATTCTTTTTTTTTTGCAGCTGTCGTTACGGTGTTTTTCACCTGCCAGAGGATTTTGGAAAATGGAGCATATCAAACTATTGAAGCTAAATTAAAATTTAATAACGGGATTTGCGGGGAACTGTATCTTGAAAATAATGCATTCTGTCTTTTCAAAACAACGGATTAGCTGTTTCGCTAAGTTTTCAGTTCCATTGTTTTTAACCGCTGATTTTGGATTTCAAAATTTGCGTTAATTTAAATTTAAGGTCGATTCCCAAATTTACCTATATACTTGCGTTGAGGAGGTTCCCGAACGCAACTAATTCCGTCCAAAGGTCTACGTTTTTCTGGCTGGTGAACCGGCAAAAACGAACCCAAAATGAGGCCAAATTCGCATCACCCCCGGCCGTTGCTTCCAGCTAGGGCCCCAAAATGTAAAATGCTCCAGGTTCAACCCGTTTCAGCCGCCTAAGCCTGACAATAAGATTAACCGAGCCTAAACTAAGCCTAAGCGTAACCTAAAACTAAACCAGACCAAATCTTGGTCAAGTCTAAGCATAAGCCGAAGCCTAAGTCCAAAGCTAAGACAAAGCCCAAGTCTCAGTCGAGCCTAACTGTAAGCCAAACGTAAGTCCAGCCTGATCCAAATCCAAGCCAAGCCTAAGCCTAAGCCTAAGCCTATGCGAAGACTAGCTTTTTAGCTTTTTTTATCTACTAAAATTAGCCATCACATCTCCCCAAATTATACGCCTCATTTTTCAGTCTCCCCATCCATCCCCCCATTATCCCCGAATTTCCATTTCCATCCATTTGCCACCACCACCAGGATAGCAAATTTTTGCGGGTCATTTGTGCCCTTTGCCGGGGCTAAGGTTTCACACATCTCCTCCGCGCCTCGAATTTCAAAATTTTCCGGAATTTGGTCCCGGAATTCCGGGCGGCGAATGGATTTGCGTTTTCGCCGTCTGGATTTTGCTTTTTACGGATTTTTGAGCCTGGAAACTATCAGGTTGGACCGAAAGTAATTACAATTTTTCGAACGCGAAAAAATTATGGAAGCAGCCATCCTATCTTTTCCATATTTTAGCATGATTGAGGGTCAAGTATGAACTTCCTGCACTCCCGATTTCAACTTCCATCTTTTGCTACTTTTGAAGTTATGAGGCGAAGAGGTTGCGCGTTGTAATTTCCGCTCATTTTAGGTTTCGTAAAAATTTGTCCGTCAATGTGTCCACAGCTACTTGAATAATTAATCCCGGTTAGAGCAGTAGTAGTACTATGCAATGTATCGAACAAAATTTGAATAGGTGGCCTCATACTTTTTTCCTGAACGATTTAGAAAGATGTCAGATTGGGGTTTCGGGCCCCAAAATAACAAATCCCTTCGCAGCGGTTTTCTCCGATTTTGGTGGCTAACTTTTAAGAATTTTTATCGATATGTAGCTTGGTTGCCACTGTTTCAAACGCGATATTGCCTAGGAACAAATCTTTTATACTGGGCCGCAGAAGAGCTTAAACCCTGATTTTCCAGCACAATTTTGTTTTGGTTTCTCAAACTGAACTAATGGGTTTGGGGCAATGATAATTGGAGTGCCTTGGCTACTGTTGTTCTGTCAATGCCCTGTTTTGTCGAAAAAATTCGATCAGCAAGGATTAAAGAATAACAACCAAAATTGAATGACGAAGCCAGATCCCGTGTCGGTTATTCGTCGTTACATTTGGTAGCAAAATTTACCCGTGAAAGCAAGGCTGCTTGATAAATGTTGTTGTCACAGTGTTCGCAACTAAATGTTTTTCAAAATAGGTGGAGCGCTTCTACATTGGCGGTCGTCATTGAATTTATAAGCCCCATTTCATCAGATTCATCCCGAATCGGGATTTTGTTCCATATTAAAGGCAATAACTACGGGATCCACGGCTGTCTGGCTGATTTGGCACCATAGCTAGAAAGATATGATACTGGCGCTTTAAACCGCCAATTATGCTGGGAGGATTCTGACTTTAGAAATTTTCATAAGGCTGGAAGGGCAGAGGGCTCGCGGCTGCCGCCGCGTCGGGCCCACCAGTGTCCCAAGGAAAACCGGTCATAGAAAAATAAATATAGGTTGGATCGATTCAATATTTTAGTGAGCTATAGTAGCATCTTAGACTCAACCATGGGTGCAAAAATCCTGACGGCCAGGTGGTAAATGTTTTTACAAAACCGGCTTGAAGATCGATTGTAAAGACTTTCGGTCCAGCCTGATAGTAGCTTAAATTCTGTGCGTAATCGCACGAGGTTTGACGTTAATTGGCATCTAGCCAACCGTAAAATCAAGATGGAAATAGTGAATACAACGATTTGCTACCAGAAAATGGCTTGAAAAATTTGAAACTTCAGATTGATGCGAAGAAAAATGTCTAAACAATATTTTTCAGGTCCGAAAGCGGTTAGCGACCCAAATCGACACCTACTCCAGCCCCTCACCCATGTTGACGAATCGGCACAATCGGCCGATAGGCATGAGATTGCAGACTGGGATGAATCTACAGGTCAGTAGGGTTCAATGAGCCTTTAAAAGCTGTATCTCTCGCACTCCCGCACCTGCCTCTCTCTCGCTCTCTCTCTCTCTCTCTCTCTCTCTCTCTTAAACATTTATTTCCAGGTCTGCTACATCAACGAGTTAAGCGAGACGAGCGAAGCGGCTTCAAGCTCCGGTAATTCCTTACAGATCATTTATCATACATATCTTACTATATTCATACAAATTTTTACACCTTTTACAGCTAATTTTGTTTTACGTTAATCGTCGCTTTTAAATAATTTTCTTGTTTAAGAAAGCGACGAGGAATCCCGAATGTCGAAAAGCCGATCCGTTCCCTGCCTTAAGTCAAAAGCGAAGCGCGAAGACCCGATCGTGAACGAGCTGCGGAGGCGGGCCGGAGAGGGGCAGAAATTGGATCCGGGTACGGTAATTGGGCCAGGAAATAATGTAAAAAAAGCTGGGAAAGGCGCTAAAATGCGCTTGAAAAGTTTGTGGAAAAATCCAAGAAAGTTTAGGACATTAAAAGACCGTGAAAACGAGTCAGACACTAATTTTGAGCTTTAAATGACGTTGGCAATTTGATAAAACCTTTAAATATAGCTTCATCTTAGTCAACATTTATTATAGATGCTTTTAATTAAAACCCACTAATCCATCTATGCAAATTTCGCTTCCTCACCTCTCCTCCCATTTTTTTAATTAGACGCCCCGGTGGAAAAAAATGAGATAAAAGAGAAGAAGCGAGCCCGGGTCATCCATCCGTTGAATTCCCCATTTCCGGGTCAAACGGCGGCCGCCCCCAGCTAGGAAAAAAGAAAAAGGAGAAAAAGATGAATATGGGCTAATGCATCAACGGGGGGTCCCGCCACGGCCTAGCAACCGCTTTTTTTGGGGAATTTTCGTTTGGGGACCAGAATATTTATGTAAACGGCTAGGCTAGGGAAAAATATCGTTAAAATAGCGCTATTTAAATATGCTGATCTATCCAAAAAGCTAAAGTATTTTAATTGAAACAATTTGGTGAGAGCGGACAAGAAAAACAAACCTTGCGAAATATTTAGAAAATGGATTGAATCTTCATTTTCGTGGTTATAATTAGATTTATTAGACGCGCTATAAGCCATAATAGGCAATTTGCATAAATCATTTACATATGCTAATTTAAATTAAACGTTTCAATTCCCGTTTCCGAAAATCTATCATTTTTCCAAGTTTGGACCCAAGGGAGGGAGGTGTGCATAATTCACCCTGTTGCGGTCCACCCTTGATCAACCCCCTCACCCCCTCTCTCCCATGACCGTGTGGCCTAATGGATAAGGCGTCGGACTTCGGATCCGAAGATTGCAGGTTCGAGTCCTGTCACGGTCGAAAACTTTTGCTTTTTGCGTCGGAGGCTGAAAATAATCAATAATCCCGGGCTCTATTACCACGAAATTCACAAAAGAACGAGATCAAAAGACGAAATTATGCTTTATCTATCGATTTATTGAGCTTTTTCCGAGCTTCGTCGCTTTTCGCAACTTCTATCCTCTTTCCTCCTTCAGATCAATATTGATGAGGGTGGCGGCTTCTAGGCTTTTTGCGCTTTAAAACGAGGCTAATTATTTAGCCACCAAGAAGAGAGCCATTTTGAACGCCCCGTTGGCCCGAGAGGGGATTAGTCTGATGGATGGGAAGGGGAGAAGGAGGGCATTCCGGGGGATTACGGACCGGCAACTCGTGCTTTTCATAGCTTTTCCTAGCTTCCCGAAGCAACAAAAGAGTCAAAAATGGGAATCGAAACTTGGAGAAGAAGAAAAAGCGGATTGGGGACCCTAAAAATTCTTAAAAATAAGCTAATGAAAGATAAAGAAAAGATAAAAAGGCGCAAGAACCCGAAAAATGCAAAAATCGTGAAGAAGTAGAAAGGTAATTGACTAAAAAAGCCACAAAATTGCCTAGAAACGACAAAAGCCAGCTTTAAGCAAAAAAATATAAATTATTTTTTAGCCGAGCGACAGCGTCTTCTTAACGCTGAAACGAATGTCGTACTGGCAAAATCGAAAGAAGCCGGTGCAAAAACGTTAGAAGATTATAGGTAAGCTTTAATGATCTAAATTCGATAAAAAAAAAATTTTTTGAATGGTCATAAGTTTTTGTATGTATAATGAGCGAAATAATAATTTATATTAGATTGTAAAAATCAAATAGTTATAAAACAAGCCAATTCCTTTCAGGAGAACAAAGTCTCGGGCCTGCGAGATCCCACGACAAAGTCGACAACTTCTGAGTAGGCTGTCAACTTCCGAAATTCAAGAGATCCTTGACAAGATACAGAACGCAATTGCGAGTACGTTTCTGGACCGCTTACACCCCCTGAAAGCCGTGAATTTTCTAAAGATTCGAAATTTCAGCGAAAAACCACCAACTCGTGTCGTTGCTGATCGAGCGTGATACTCTGCATATGGAGCACGACTCGTTGCTGGTTGATATTGAGGATTTCCAGGTATTTTTTTAAGTTTTAGGATGACACGATTTAGCTTAATCTATTTTTTGCACTGAATTAATATAAAACCTTTTGTAAAACTTTGTTTATTTGGTTTTTAGGAGCACGAAGCCGACGCGCCGGCCCTCGACTTCCAGAAGCTTCTCAAATCTCAGGAAAACCTTGGCAAAGAGCCAATAATGCAAGAGCTACCGGAGAGGCGATCCCAAAACGGGAATGTCATATCGGTAAGCAAACAGATAAAAAATCAATAATAAATCACATTTTTAATCGGCATTGGTAATTTGCAAATTGTGTAAATCCTGATTTCCTAAGTTTCACGCGGCCTTTAATGGGTCCATGAAGGGCGGAGGTCGACCGCTGCGTCGACTAGGTATCGACAGTCATGAGATATTCCAAATTATGCGTTCCAAATTAATTTATTTTGGTTCTAAGCGTTCATCAAAAAAAAAACCATTTTGATGAGTTTTCAGGCAATTTGGTTGAAACGAAATTTGAAAGTGATGCGTAATTTGGTGCAAAGCGTAGCTGTCAATATCCGGTCCCTGGTTGGGGTCGATTTTGCGTCCCGACTTGGTCGATTAGTCCATTAACTCGCTTCGTTATATATTTTTTTTCTTCTAAACCGCTAAAATCGAAAATACATTTTTGAAATTTGGAATTAGGAAAAAAAGTTTTTGGAAATTGCAATCGGCTCTAAATCGTTGGTATCAACTTTTAGGGAACTTCGAAAAGCGTTAGATAGTTATTTCTATATTCCCATTTTTCAGCCTCCCTCCCCGGCACCTCCATCACGGCCGAAGTCACTACACACCCAGTCACTTCCACAAAAAACATCAGCCGCCTCCCAACTAACATCCCCCGTCTCCCCATTTGCCCAGTTGTCACCTTCGAAAATTTTGTCCAATTTTAGGATATTCAGGCGGTAGAACCGAAACAACCTAATTTTCCGAAATACCGTAAGCCCAAGTTTTTATTAAGATACTTTTTAGCTTTAAAAACGACTGGGTAAGAATGGGATCCCAGAGGTTGTCTAGAACTTTTTGTAATTTTTATATAATTTATTTACGTTTTTTCTACAGGGTCCTCAAAGGTTCAGTGGACCGTACTTTCCATTAAAAAGAGCTTTCAGAAACATTTTCGGGGTTTTAAAGGGACCGGGAAGGCATGAAAGCTGTGGATTTGGCAAAAATTTTAGTGTTTTTTTGGGCGTACGGTAGTTTTCCAAAACATTGTGAAGTGAAATTAACTTCGAATTTTGGCTTAAAAAAGTTTAAAACATGTAAACCAACAGCAAAAATTAAAAACATTAAAAACACAACCAACATTTAAAACAAGCAAGACTTTTGAAATTTTAGGCGGTAAAAAATATCCGCTAATGTTATGGATTTGCCTTCTCCGTCCCTTTAAAACCGACGATTTCTACACTTAAATTTAATATTGATCTAATACGGCAATTGCCTTACCATTATTGGCAATATTCATCGTATCAAAAGGCTATGTGTGGCCAAATAGAGGAAAAGCCTAGCTGGCGATAAGGCCGCTACCCCCCCCGGTCAAAACCCACAAACCCGGTCACCCAATATTATTGATCGATTTTCATTTTTCTCTTTATTTTTATTCGTTATTTATGGTGCTTTATCGTGTATTTTTATTTGTTTTTCTTTGTGCATTTTCGGGCCAGCTTCCGAACTTTCCAAATGACGGCCATACTTCTGCTCTACCAGTTCCACGCCCCTTCACAGTCAAAAATATTCACTTGGCAATAAATGGATTTTTATTTATTTTTATTTATCGTTTTTACCGAATTTAATTATCATTTTAAGCCGCTAATAGAATTTTACTACAAAGTAGAAAACAGCCAAAATTTAATTTACAAAGTTTTGGAGTAATTTTATCGCGCTAAGTCTAAGCTTTCGATTTTTACGCTAATTTTATTAATTTTAAGACAGCTTTTTCTCAAAATCGTATAGGATTCAAATACCTTAAAAGTTTAAATTAACCACCTAAACGACGGATTCAACCAACCACCTAGAAAACCGCCAAAAACTAAATGAGCCATTTTTTATAGTAAATTTATCGCGGTAAGCCAATTTTCCGAGGTTTTGCCGCTCATGTTGTCAATTTCAATACACTGTTTTTTTTGGAAATACTACAAATTTAAATTATACGACAGTCTTACGGCTAGTAAGGGTCCAGCAAAATCGCGCTTTTCCGACAAATAACATCACGGTTCACGGGGTGAATCAAAATGCACCGTCACGGCGATGTGGACCGCCTGGCTGACATTTACGCTACGTTGGCGTTTTCCTACAGTCCTTAACGTTCTTTTGCACTTAGAAGCTTTCTAAAAACTATTGAAATCTTTAGATCCGCCTTAATCTGGATTGTACGCCTCAAAGCCGCCCTTAAATTTGCCCCTCCACCTACGGTTTTCTGGATTAAATTTGCTACTAAATTGGGTGCTGAAGCGCAAAAATTCAGCCAATCTAACGGCCCTCACCAGAAAATCCCATAAACAAAGCCCTCTCTGGCGGGAATTCCGGACATTCATCCGGCACCAAGAGACTAACAGTTGCTAGGCAATGACACCGGTGAGAGGCCGTCGGTGGTCGCAAATTCTGAGCTCGCCCTGAAAAAAATGGCTGCCCGGGTTTTTTGGAATTGATTTTTGGGCTGTTAGAATGTCTAAGATTGTGTTGCAAGATGGCAAACGTTGTGTGTTTTTGTACGTTGTGTCTATTCTGACGTTGCGTCACCTGCAAAACCCCCCGAACGCTCAGAAATTTGTGTTCATTTTCAGAAAAACCAACGGAACGGTGTTGCACGCCTTACCTGGTCCGACAGGCCGTAGCTCAAATTGGGCATGAAGAAAAGATTGATCTGCTTTTTGCGTGCTATCGAGGCGACTTTCGCTTATCTCGCCAATCGGCTTTTAGCGGTTGGATCCCAACAAATTTTTTGACGAGTTTCCATGAAATGGCTTTCTATTTTTGCTCTTTCCTAACAATATTATCAATCTTATATAGAGTTTTTCTTACTCAAAATTGCCTACAAAACCTGCTAATAATCCAATTAAAGGTGGATCCGCAATAGTTTTTGAAGCGAAATTGAGTGAGCGGCCAGATGTCTAGTGTAAACGCCCATGGTGTAGGATGTAAGCCAGTAAGCGCGTAGAATGTAACGAAAAATGTAAAGTACGAAGGAATAGGTCTGTTTTGGCGCTATGTGGGTCATTTTCCAGAATGTAAGGCTGTCCGACCTGAATGAACCTTTGCACCCGCGGCGGAAGCTCCACTAAACCCTTTTTTCGGAGATGACAATCCGGTGGACCTGGTAATTGGTTGGTTATGACAAACGCACAGCTATGACGTTGTAGATTTTTGGCTAATTTATACTATATACTTTATACTTTCTTACTTCGTTATCATGTTATTCTACATTTAACTGGCACTAAATACTGTGATTTTTCAAGATTCTGACTAGGAATTTCCTATCCTATAAGCGAGAAAAGTATGTTTGTTTTCTGTACAGCCGATTTCTCGGCCGCCAGGCCGAATTTTGAGCTGATTTTTGGCATGGAGGTGGAGAAACACATTTGTCAGTGACGCATTTTTTTTGTTTTTTGAAATTCCTTCATTTAACGGTTTTACAAGCAAAATAGTGAAAAATCCTTGGCCGAAAAAGGTTTGTTCAGAGGATACCTCCCGAGGCAAATGGAATTAGGCGCTAATTTTTGGAGGGCAGATTGAAAATTACATTCTCCTGTGATATAATTCTGGGTTTTGGCAGATTTTGTAATCTAAAATTTTTATGAGCATTTTTCCAAAAAGTCCTTAACAAAATGGGCCAAGAGCCGTGGTGTCCGGGGCATAACTCGATGCCCTGTTGGAATTCCGGGCTGGAATTCGGGCCACTTTATGTATTCGATGATGGGGATCACGCGCATCTTATTATCTTTGCAAATTTTCAGCTGATTCAGATTAGAAAACCGAATTTTGTAAAGTGACCAGTAGGCCTCTCTCCGGGATCATTGGGTCGCCATTCTCTTTGCTTCCACCACCCCTCCCCCACGAGAGAAGAGGCCTTTCCCGCTGCCTGTTCCCATCGTCACGATGGTGCAGTGCATTTGCGTCTGTCTGCCACGCGCGTGTAGTGAGTTCGGATCCTGCCTGGATCTAACTTTTTGCTTTTTGGTAGTTCAGCAACAAAACATATTTCTAGGCTCTCGGTGTGCGGGGGTTAGGCCTGGCCCTCGCTCTAGCGCCGCAGGCCAAAAACGGTCCTTCGCTCAAGGCTCTCGCGCCCAGGCCAAAAAAGGTCCTTGGACCAAGGCTCTCGCGCCGCAGGCCAAGAATGAGTCCTGCACCCGGGCTCTTGCGCCGCAGGCCAAAGCCTGAAGAAAAACCAATAACTAGCGCCGCAGGCTTATAAATTCTAGCGCAACGCTGGCTCTGGCGCCGCAGGCCCAATATGGAGAGTAAAGTCAGTAGCTAGCGCCGCAGGCTCAAGGTTTTGAGCGTAGCCCGCGCTCTGGCGCCTCAGGCCGAGGAATGGCTCCGGGGACTCCGGCACTTGCGCCGCAGGCTTTGAAGAAAGGAAAGGATTAGAATTCGTGATTCTTAGACGGGGTCCAGTGGAAAATGGCCGCGAAGCGGTCTTTTTCCACTGGTTAAATTATAATTCTCAAAAAATCAATACGTTTTTCAACGCTAAGTACGCAAAGCAACATCCTAATAAAATTAAGCAGCTAAAATAAGTTAAACGGTGTTTTGAAAATGATAATTTTAGAGGGCCAAGGCAAAATCCATATTTTCCTGTTTATGGTTTTTTCGGCTGAATTCCAATTCACTGCTATAACCTTTGTTTTATTGCTGCTCCACCCCGACATCACGACAGTGTTTTGACCACGCCCAAGTACCAATACCCAATAAAAAAACTAGTTTCCGGCCCATTTATCCCCGTGGCTGGTGTCGGTACAGGGGAGTGTTGCGGAGTGTGATGAGCACAAATCCCGGCCAAATATGCCGACGACGAGACGAGTTGGCGAGTGAGAAGTGGGTAAACAATGCGGTGGCTAGAGAGTGGGTAGAGAGACAGAGGGATAGCGGGAGAGCGAGAGAGAGAGAGAGAGAGAGAGAGAGAGAGAGAGAGGCAAACTACTAGTTGAGAACTCCCACCTACTCTCAATACTTCAAACACTGCGTCTCCAGGGTGGGTTTGGGCAAGGTCTGCAAGCGGTTGGGTCCCTCAGCGCAGACGCATTAGCGAGCGTAAATGGCGGAGTTATGAGTTCTTCATATCTCTCGCTTTACCTCGCTCTCTCTCTCACTTTGTCTCTTTGTCTCCCTCTCCATCTTACTCTCTCGCTCTCTCGCTCTCTTTCTCTCGCTCGCTCTCTTTCCATATATTAAAATTCCATTTTTACGCATGTTTGGAGTACTGTATCGGAAAATCCAAGCGCTCCTGACTTACCTGGCTCTTGCCACACCCAAAATTGACACGTTTCCGGACGCGAAAAACCCCCTACGGAATCCTCTATTTACATTCCACGCCCTCCGAACCGCGGGTCAAATTTCGTCGAACCCATTTTGGCCTCAAATTCGGGTTAGGGTTTTGTGCTTTTTGAGCAGGAACCAATTGATTTTTAGCGCCTTGATGCTCTCAAAAAATTTTACTTTGCAGCGTTCACTAAACAAACTTGTCGGCGCCCGCGTATTTATCCGATCACGCGGTGTAGATTCTCACCCAGATTAACGTCTTTTTGCACGGTTCCGGAACCTTATTCATATTTTTGAGCACAACTATATCTTCTAAATTCGTTCCGCAACTTCTCTGCCCCTCATAAACCGGTGGATCCCATTGAAAATGCGCTTTTTTGGGTTGCTCATCGGCCATCGGGCCACCCATTTCCGCCCGACCAACCGGGCATTAGTTGATTAATTCGGCCCGGGGAAGCGCCGGACAAATCGACGGGTCCATCCAGGCACTTGACTGAATTACGCTTCGAAACTGGCACCGATAGAGTTAGGCGACGTTTCGCTACTATGTACGCTACGGAATGTGGCGTAGTAACTCAGAAACAGCCCCTGAGCAATCAAGAATCAATGCTAGGATAGTTTCCTGAGTTCTCGAGTTTATTAACTTCCAAATTTCACGACTTAAAATTGCAATTTAGATTTATCAAATTTAATTTTAATGTCCAATGTATTTCGGGCCCGGCGAAACGCAACGCACCGGCCACAACGCGCAGAACAAATTCCACTAAGCCATAAGAACGAAAAATCGCGCATTGCGTGTCGGCAAAATCCATAGCCAACCCTAAAAACCTAGACCTAAAAACGCACTTTTTCGTAGCTTTTCGATTTGATCCTTGTCTATTAATTTTTACATACCTTTACCTGATTTTCATATTTTTTAGTTTATTTGCTACCAGGGATTCCGAAATACTTGCAGCTCCATGTCATAGCCTTTCCCAAGTTTCCATATTTGCCTAGAAAAATGGAATAGGGCCTCTAAAAAGCCCCCCACGTCGTCGGCCTGGTCGTTCGAAATATTTGCACTTGAGCTTCAACTAGCCCGGCAACCCCCCCGGCAGACACAATATCAATTTCCGGTGTTATCATGCTTCAAAAAAACGACCTTTTGTATGCAATTTCAAACTTCAATTTTATTTTTGATAGTGAGGGCTAACACTGAATATAAAATCTTATGTGATATATTTAACTTCTATTTATCTTAATTTATTTATTTATCTTCTATCTTCCTTACACTACTTTTTAGTTGATTTTTCAATGGATTTTTTAGATGTGATGACCAAGAGATGGAAGACGGCGTTCATTCTGCTGTCCGCACTGCCATTTGTAGTTATTTTTACGTTTTTTAGAACTGGTAAGACTTTCTATACCTTAAACTAGCGGTTTTCACCATGCAGTTCCCTTAAAATAGCGCAAAAAATTTAATAAACCATTCTTATAGAAAACATAAGTTAAAACCAATTTAGACAACCGTCTAACCAGCTTTGGTTCATTCGAAAACCTATTCCTCATCGATCCACTTGAACAGAAATCTCGAATTTTACTAAATGGTACGGAGAAAGTGGTATGTTTTGTTCGTATTTCACGATACAACGCCCCTTAGAAAATGCATAAATACATGGCGTGTTCGCTTTTTAGGACGTGGCATTCGTCGTGCTCGTCCGCGACCGGCACAACATCACCGAGTACGAGTTTGCCCAAATGACGGTCAAGTGCTATGCGGAATCGAGGGGAATACCGTATTTTCTGGTGGATGAGACGCCGGAGAACCGGGAGGGATGTGAAATGGAGGATGTAAGTGAGAGAGACAGAGCGAGAGAGAGAGAGGAGGAGAGAGAGACATAAAGAAAGATTCTTATCATAAGTTTTAGCAAATGTACCGTCGACATTGTATTTTGGCAAACGTAATGGCCGCAACAAATCATAAATGGTTCGTCATGTTTGACGCCGACATGGGTAGGTTTGACAGCGAGGCAGAGACAGAACGAGATAAAGAGAGAGAGAGAGAGAGAGAGAGAGAGAGAGAGAGAGAGAGAGAGATAAATAGAGAGATATTATGAGAACATCAATAAAATTTCCGTTTCAGGTATCATAAACCCTCGACAAAAAATCGATCGCTTCATCCCAAAAGATGCCTCCACTTTTCTGGTCTTGACGAATCGGGTGATGAACTCGGAGATTATGACTGGGAGCTACATCGTCAGGTTTGTGCATTATACCTTTTTAATAGTATGACAAGGATATAATTGATAGAATATCCGTAGCCTCCCGAACGAACAATTCCGGCTGCATTCGGCCATTAAAATCAACCTGAAACCCGTAAAATATCCTAAAAAATCCCCATTTCCAAGGCTATATCTAGAAATGACAAGCGAGGCCGCGGGTTTCTCAATTTTTGGGCATCCGGCGATACAAACTACACGGGTCTGGTGGGCAGTGATAACGCCGCTGTACATGTACGTTTCTCTATCGTTAACTTTTGGAAAACCATGATTTTAGAGTACTTTAATCCGAAAATACCTCCCCCACCTCGAGGCCGACCTCAAGAAGTGCGAGACGTGGTGGCGGAGCGCTACGTAAGCGGAGGCAAAGCCTAAAAACTATCATTTTTAGGGCATTTTGCCGACTTTTCCTGTATGAGGTCTGCGTCAGGGATTTATTGGATCAGCATGAGATTCCCGGAATTCAGGTTCGTTTCTCTTTCTCTCACTCCCTCTCTCTGTTGCTCTCTCTCTCTTTCTCGCTCGCTCTCGCTCTTTCTATCTTTCTCTCTCTCTCTTCATTCATACATCTTCCATTTCATAAGGCTATTTCAGTTTTTGCCCAAGACCTATTCCTACGTGAGGGATGGCTGGCTGACAAACGGGAAATTCAGCGAGGATGATTTTGTCTTTCACAATTGGAAAAACAGGTATGAGAATTTTGTCGAACTGATGGGATCTATTATTGGTATAGCAAGTTGTAGTCTGTAGTTTTCTCAAAGCGGCTATTTTTTAGTGTCAAAAACAACCGGAAAGCGTTCGGCGCCTGGGAGTTCCAGTTTGACGACTCGGCTTTCAACGATTTAAGGTAATAATTGAAATTTCCGAGAAGAGGGAGAGCAGAGAGAGAGAGACAGAGAAAGAGAGAGAGAGAGAGAGAGAGAGAGACCGAGGGAGCGAGTAAGCAGTCTTATATTTTTCAGTTGGTGCAACGACTCCCAATCGGCCGGCGAGCTGTGGCGGTACAAGGACGGGTTCGCAGTTGGAAAAGATGTTATCAGGAAGTAAGTGCTATTTTTCGAACCTAGTAGCAGCAATCAGTTGATTTGCCATACCGATTAATGACTGAATTCCACGATTTCTAATACCGACCTTATTTATTTTTTTCATTTGCAGACGATTGGATGTCTGGATCAAAAATACGGGCACGGAACGAAAACGACAAACTCGGCAGTACCAAACCTTTAACGCCTCTGCGTCAATTGTGAAGAATTGCAAATAATTTTACCCTAGCGGTATAACTCCCGGTCATAAACTCCGAATTCATCATCCGATTCGCCAAGACGAGAAAAGTTGAGTCATCTTTGGGGATGAAGCGATCGATTGATTGGTGGGGGTTGATGATACCTTAAAACCAGTTTTTTGTGACTTTCTGGTAATCTCTTGCACTCTCTCTCGCTCCCTCTCACTCTCTCGTTCTCTCTTGTGCTCTCTCTCTCTCGCTCTCTCTCGCTTTCGTCTTTCCATGACTTCTAATTGTTATACCTTAATAAGACGGGTGTTATTGTGCAATTTTGTGTTGTGTAATTTGCGGGTCATGCTTTTACTTATTTAGAAAGTGTGATTGTAGATCTGTTTTTATGCTCAGAACTTAAATAAAAGTATTTATCGCATTTAATGGTCCTTCTCCTTCTCAGCAGCAATCTGTTCTTGGATGTGCTCCCAATCGATTTCGTACTGAAAGGGTAAGTTAGTGTGTAAAATTTTAGCTTTTGAAGCCTTTTAATAGCCTTGTCGTGCCCATCTTTTCAGCCGGAAAAGGAATTACCTTGCTGAGCTGCTCCAGAAACTTTTGATCCGTTTCCCGCTTGCCGAACTCGTCGAGGTACTGCTGCCGGTAGCCGAGTACGGTGTCCACGTGCATTTTATGCTTTATAGCGAGATCGAGGGCTCTGAATTTCAGGCGTAAAATTGCGAAAATCGCCCCTTCTATCGACTGGGTCTCGACATACACGTGGAAGTTCGAAACCTGAGTTTATGCAAATTTTAATATTTTTTGACACCTAACGTTCTAACGAATTTTCACGGGCTTTTAAGCAAGTCACGCAGCTGTCGACACCTAGTAGGTAGGTCGATCCTTAGACTGACTAGTGCCTTTAAAAGGGCTATCACAGGCTGGTTAACCGATTAACAAAAATGCGCTTACCGACTCCATCTAAACGTCGAAATATTCAGCATTATAGCTCGGAAGGGATTTCCGGTCCTTTCGAGCATCGCGTCCGCGTCACTGATCTAGATTTTTGATATATCTTGCGACATTAGAAAAATTATAACCTTCCCAGTTAGTAAAACAAGCATTGCCGCCCTGACATCTTTATTCGGATGGTTTCTGGCCTCGCTGAGGAAGGCCACTTTTTCACCCTGAAAGGTCAGGAATAAGCTTTGAATGAGTATGAATTCAAAGGCACTACAATGCGTCATTTGGTGGAGCGCGTAGCTGCCGAGCCCTAACCGATTGGAGGGGCCATTCTGAAGTTTTTGCACCTTTGAATGCATTTTAAATGGTGCAAAAGGAGAGAAAATTGGGTCATTAGTTGGATTGGGTACCTCTTCCAGCGCTCCATAAGCAATCTCCGCGGCGTAGAGATTTTTCTGCTGGGCCGCCGATCCGGCTAGAATTGCCCAGAGTACGTCGTCCTTAAGAAAGTATTGTTATTCTACCGTAACTCAAACCCCGATGTGGCGACAAAGTCTGATAGCTTCATCCCATTTTGAGGCATCAGCGTGCGCAAGCAAGGTTCCGGCAAATGGTGACAATGCAATTGGGACCAAAGATCCGTCCGACCGGCGCAGGACCACCTGGTTTTTGGTGAAGCTGAAAAATAGTCTCTGGTAATCTAGAGCATCTTCTCCTCGTCCACATAACCATTAAAGGTCATTTTGCCTACAGTATCCCAAAGCAAATTTGTAGACACCGAAAAATCAGCAAAAACTTACTTTACAAGATGCGGAAATTTCCCGAGTCCATTGACCGTTTTCTCGACGACAGCACGTTGGAGTAAATCGCGATCGACGAAAGCTAAGGATGGCATTGGCCAGACGGATACCTGGAGAGAAAAAAGAACTAAGACATGTTAAATTGCCGTACTTTTCCTTCTCCGAGGCCTACCAACATCGAAGAAAGGTCGTTGAAGCAGATTTGTTCGACGAGAGTACCTGAACGTAGTATTAGGACTTGCTATCTATAGCTTCTCTCTCTCTCTCTCTCTCTCTCTCTCTCTCTCTCGTCCTACCAATTTTTGCCGTCCTCGGATTGGCCCCAAACGAGTTGACGAGGCTGACATACACCGAGGCCGACACATCGGTAAAAGCCACGACCCGTTGACTCAACGACCCGCATTGTGACAGCCCGATGCAACAGATTTCCGCCTATGAATTAATTCCTGCTTCGAATCATGGCAACCTGCTTACCGAATGCGTTAGCGCGCCATCTCCCTGTACTTTTGAGGTGTTCGGGTCAAAGAAATGAAGCTTGGCAAAGTCGTTTTTGTCTCGTACGGCTATGGTGTCGTTGGAGAGGGCAACGTTCTGAAAAATCAAGGTTCTCTCTCTCACTCTCTCTCCCTCTCTCTCTCGCTCACTCTCATCGTTCTTTCTTTCCATCTCGGTCTCTCTCTCTCTCTCTCGCTATCTGTCCCTCTCGCCCTCTCCCTTTCTCTCTTGATTTCTATGGATTAGAACACCTACCGCCTCATTCAAATTCCCGCCAGTCCCCGGCACCTTAATTTCGCAAATATAGCGCCCCTCGTAGCTGTAGGAGTACAAGGAGCCTCCATCAGCGACCACGAAAAGTTTAAAAATGTCAAGATATCACCATTTTAAAGAAGGAACCCACTTTTCAGTCTGGATCAACAACGTCACACTGCCCTCCTTCAGGTCGACGAGCACAGGGGTGTTCCAGCTGGTTGAGCTGAAATAAATCGGGTATAATTTGTGATTTTCTAGGATTTTCTGTTGGTTGTTGACCGTTTCGGGTATTTTTGAGGTCAGAACACTACATGGTTCGAGTTTATGGAGGTAAAAAAAATCAATTTTCCGTCCGTTTGGAATTTTCTTTACATATAGATATAAATCTGCTTGCTGGTGACGACGACGAGATGGTCGTGGTTCATCGAGAATTTTGTGATTCTGAATAGGTATACTGTAAAAGTCTCATTTTTCGATGTTTACCTGTCCCTGGTATCAAGCTTCTCCCTGGCTACTTCGCTGGCCATATCACGCACTTCAATCAGGTTCGTTTTCGCCTGGGTGATGTCCCAGTTACGGTAGGAAATGCGTCTAAAATTCGCGAGATATAGCTAATCGATAACGCAATAAAAAGCCAGAAACGCTACGGTACGACTTCATGCATATTTTTTCTGGTCAATACGCTAGAATATGAATACGAACTTTTCGACGAGATGAGCATGAACAACATGTCCAAGACTGCCACCAGCCACAAGTTGAGTCCCATCCGGACTCCACCCCACCGCCATCACCGAGCCGCAGTCGAGACGCTCGACGCTGTGTGACCACTGGAATGTTGAATTTTTTGCATTTTCCGAACCTGTACTATAGACGGGTCGGATGCTAGAGTATTATAAACCATTTACCCCAGCTTTGTCGCACAGCCTCAACAGGTTAAACGACCCGACGACGAACAGCGAACCGTCAGGTGAAAATGCCAGACTCGTCATCGGGGTCTCGTGGCTGGCTGAGGTGAATAGGACACGGCCGAAGGAGTCCCAGACCTGGAAAGGCTCAAGATGCTCTACTGATAGAGAGCATGAGATAGAAAACGTGAGATGGAGAGAGCGAGAGAGAGAGAGACAGAGAGAGTGAGGTGAGAGAGAGAGAGAGGGAGAGAGAGGGAGAGCGAGAGCGAGAGAGAGTGAGAAACAACAAGTAAGTTATAGAACACACCTTAAATTTCCCATCTTCGCCTCCGGAAATGATCAAATCTGTAGTTCCAGACCAGTCCACGCAGGTGACGAGGCCATCATGAGCTTTCCACTTAATTGGTGATACCTGAAAATGAACTTTTACTTTTTAGAGAGAGAAAGAGACAGAGCGAAAGCAAGTGAAAGAGAGAGAGAGAGTGCGCGCGAGAGAGAACGAGAGAGAAGGAGTCTGAGAGAGCGATAGTGTCTCTTGCTAACCTGTGTTTTCAACGATTTAATGTAGCATGAATCGTGGCAAGAATACAGTACTCGCGCCGCCGACCCATCCCAACAAGCCGCATACACAGGGGTGGCCATTTGGGCGAGTACACTACGCAACATTGCCGCGCGGCTCCACATTTTTACGGCACCGTCTTCGCCACCTGCAGTAAGAGAGTAACATCGCAACGATGCGCCTTACATGTAATCAATCCCGTCCCATCGTGGCTCCATCTAGCACTGAGCGCGGCTCCTCGATGAGCATCTACCGATTTCTCAATTTTCCCGCTGCGGGCGATGATATGAAGTTTTCCTGAAGTCAAATGAAGCGTACCCCTTCAAGTTGTTCCGCGAGTTTAAGGCCTTTTTAGAAAAGCCTTGACTTACCATCAGATGACGTCAATGCCAAGACGTCATTTCCGCCCTTGGTTAACGATCTCGGAAACCAGGACATTGAGGTCGGGAAGAGGGTTCTAAAAAAATATTGGAGTAATGAGAGCAAGAGGTCAATGCGGTTCCTGATGTCGTCGTTTGCGTACTTTGCTCTGCCATCGCCTCCAAACGGGTTTTTTCGCATTTCCTAATCGCCATCCGAAAAATATAGTTAGTGGGTTTAAGTTATGAGTCATAAGGTATTACTCGGCGTTACTATCACTCACTCTGGTAGCGTGGCGACTTGCGTGGCTTCCATCGTCACCAGATTCCACTTCAGAAACGAGTGGTCGTCGGAGCAGGAGACCATTTCATCGCTGGACGACCATCTGAGAGAGAAAGGTGTTTTCAACGATTAATGCATCATAAACCAGTTTAAAAACGGTGTGATTTTTTAAACTTCCCAGGTTTGACATCGTCGCATTGGGATGGGTTACGGTATTTCCTGCTCCAAATTGGCCTTTGGCTACCTCCCATTAACTCATTATAAGCCCCGAGAAAAGTCTTGTTATTCTACAGAACCCCGTTGATCAATCATAAATGTCCTTACCAATTTTTCGGATACGGTAATTGCTCAAACGTTCCTTAAATTCGTATAACAAACTTACCCAACAGCCGAAACGGCATCGGAGTGTCGCGGAACGCTGGATTGTAAAGTTTTTAAGCGCATTTCACGGATAGGACGCCAAAAACGCCTATTCGCAGTCTCCCTCCCCCTTCTGTTTATGTCCAAATCGCCTAGGTTACCGTCGCAGGCAGCCGTCCCCTAAGCCCAGACCCAAACACCGTAGTCAGCCTCCCCAGTCTGTGCCCACCACGTTCCCCCACTCTCTCGCCCCGCCCGCCCCTGGAATCCATTAGGCCGGGCGCTAATTTGGGGGTGCTGCACGACTTCCTGCCGCCGTGGGCACTGCCAAAGGCGCCTTGCCCCCGTAAAACGACACTCTTGCCGCCAGGGGCAAGTTATAGCCCATTTTCACGGCTTCGGCGTGTTGACGTGCTTGGGACGACTGCTAGGCTCGTGCCTTGACTTGGACCTCTTGGGAGGTGGCCAAATGGCTGCTAAACATTGGGAATTCTTCACACTTCTCTTCTTCCTATGGGTCCTGACCGATTTGAGCGCGTCTTCGTCATTACACTCATTCTCAATTTGTTGAAGATGGTCAAGTTTCATCTAAAAATAGTAAATTTGCTCAAGTTCTACTTTGAAAATTAGATCTTGACGCAATTTGAGTGTTTCTGCTCGATTATTTCCTGCTTCCAACTTCTCAAGCTTCTCCAAAGCTCCACCAAATATCTTCTTTAGAATACCAGCCGATTACAGCCGCTTCGCGACTGTAATCGGCTGGACTTCGGGCTACCCTCCATATTCTACATCACCACATTTCATCCCTACCTTACGCTGATGCCTTCATGGCAATACCTACACTGATGGCTTCAGATACCTCCTCTAGCCCCCCCCACGAAAAGATAGCTACCTTCCCGATGGCTTCAGATACCCCTCCGAGCCGAAATTCCCTTAAAAAACTACTTCGATACCTGCCTGCTGGCTTCAGATAAGCCCCATGGCTGAAATCTTCTTCAAAAACTACCAAAATACCTTCCTGATGGCTTCAGATACCCCCCATAGCTGAAATCCCCTTCAAAAACTACCAAAATGCCTTCCTGATGGCTTCAGATACCCCCCATGGCTGAAATCCCCTTCAAAAACTACCTAACTACCTTCCTGATCGCTTCAGATACCCCCATAGCCGAAATCCCCTTCAAAAACTACCTAACTATCTTCCTGATGGCTTCAGATACCCCCCATGGCTGAAATCCCCTTCAAAAACTACCAAAATACCTTCCTTATGGCTTCAGATACCCCCCATAGCTGAAATCCCCTTCAAAAACTACCTAAATACCTTCCTGATGGCTTCAGATACCCCCCATGGCTGAAATCCCCTTCAAAAACTACCTAACTACCTTCCTGATGGCTTCAGATACCCCCCATAGCTGAAATCCCCTTCAAAAACTACCTAAATACCTTCCTGATGGCTTCAGATACCCCCCATGGCTGAAATCCCCTTCAAAAACTACCAAAATACCTTCCTGATGGCTTCAGATACCCCCATGGCTGAAATCCCTTCAAAAACTACCAAAATACCTTCCTGATGGCTTCAGATACCCCCCATGGCTGAAATCCCCTTCAAAAACTACCAAAATACCTTCCTGATGGCTTCAGATACCCCCCATGGCTGAAATCCCCTTCAAAAACTACCAAAATACCTTCCTGATGGCTTCAGATACCCCCCATGGCTGAAATCCCCTTCAAAAACTACCAAAATACCTTCCTGATGGCTTCAGATACCCCCCATGGCTGAAATCCCCTTCAAAAACTACCAAAATACCTTCCTGATGGCTTCAGATACCCCCCATAGCCGAAACCCCGTTCAAAAACTACTTAAATTCCATCCCGATACTTTAAATCATTTAAATAATAAATTAACATAATTAAAAGTATTAAAAGTATTAAAGTAACTTAAAAAGCTATTTGGACGCGGGAAGGGGCCTGGGGAAGAGGGGCGAAGGGAAAGGGGGCGTGGCCTCCCGGGAGAGGGGCCCCCACCCCATTTACTAAGGAAAACACTTTCAAAGTTAATTTTAATAATTTAAATTAAAACTTTTTCATAATTTTTTTATCAGTTTGGGGGTTTCTGACCATGCTCTATCCGAATCTGAAGAGAGCTAAGCTCTAGCTCCTTTCCCCTTCGAGTTGAATCTGGGACATGACAGACAGACAGACGGACACCACTACTTTTTTATTATAGTTGATTTTAGACCGCTTCGAGCGTTTATTTTTCTTTCGGCTTCGTTCGCAATTCTTTGATCCTATCAACTCTGAAAGCCGGGTTAGAAAATCGACTTGGAGCTGTCTTACTTTCCCACGAGGCCACCCTAACTTCAACGAGGTGGCTTCTTGCGTGGCTTGGATCTTTTCCAAACCGGAAATGGTCAAAAAATGCGCAAAAATTTCATCTACTCTTGCTAAATCTCTTTAAATACATTTTTAAAGTAATGAAATATCTTGAGAAGCACAAATAAGCTTAACTTTCCTTATGTCTCTTGCAAAATCAAATAATCGGGAACCAGAACATCAACGGCGGTCATCTGACACGAACCTTCAAGAATTCTATAGATTCTTACCCTGGGCCCATTTCTCCATCCCATCATCAATCTGCCTTAATAATTATATATCTCGTCCTCCTCCTTCTCAGCCACGCCTTGACAATCCCCCATAAATAAGCAGCGGGCCTTTTGGACCTTTCTTGGCCCTCTACCCCTTCGGCCGGCGTGCCGTGTGGCTCCAGAATGGAACTAATTCCGGGGACCCATCGAGAGCCTAAAGCCCCCTCCCATGCCGCCCGGCTTCCGATTTCAATATTTTGTGCTGGGCAACAGGGGAAAAAGCTAAAACAAGGGCTTTTCGATCGTAGACTAGACACTATTTTCTTTTAGGTAGTGGATTTCTTTTTCTTTCATGCTCATTTATCATCATCATTTATTTCTTTTAGGTATGATTTTTATGATAGTAATGGGAAATTACTAGAAATATTATGAAAATAGTGGGTTTACTTACGGGGATTAAACTTAACAGGTGGAATTTTTGCCCCCCTCCCTCCCCAGATAACAAACCAGAACCCCGCTAACTTCCCCGTCTCTTTAAACGGCACTATGATTCTCTCCAAGACACCTTCTTGCTCCCAGGGCTTCTTCTCGAGTCCCCCCCCCCCCCACCCTAACGGCCCGGGATTTTAGAGCCCAGGGGGTTTGCCCTCCTTTTTCATTTCCTGCCATCGGGCCTTCAGCTGCTCTCCCCACTCCCTACCCCCCCAAAGGCCCTTCTTCGGGCCCTCTTTTTTTGCCAGTGTGCCCATTTTCGGCCGTTTCGCAAGGGCCCTCGCTTTTTGCACGGACCCCCGGCTGCACAAAGGCCGCCCTAAATATTGATGTTCGAGCCGACGAGCCCTGCTTTTTTTGTTGTGACTCGTTAGAAACCGAAACCCCCGGCGAGCCCGGGCGGGGGCGCGCGCCGTTCTTTTTCGCTGCGTAGAATCATGCCCATTGTCGTGTTTTCTATTTTCCAAAAAATACAGCGTTTTCCTAGGAAAAAAAACCAAGACAACTAGTACCTTTTTCAGTCGCGATGGACTTCAACATTAAAAAGATGGCCAGCGACGCGAGTGGCTTTTTCAGTCGAGCAAAACAGGTATGAAAACTTGCTAAACTCGAAACTAGACCTAAAAGGAGCGGCGTTAAAGTATACAGGTTCGAAAAACAGCACGATGAATACCTAACGCCTAATAGTAGCGTCTAAATCAAACCATTTAGTACACCGAAGAAACCTTCCTAAAAGCCGAGAAAACCGAGCTCGACCCACACTTCGAGGCGTTATTAGTTCGAGCCGATAAAACCGAGGAACACACCCGGAAACTACTTGGATGTATCGAAAGCTATCTACAGCCAAACCCAAGTAAGTCCTGAAAGAAACGACATTAAAAAGTCTCCTCTATTCGTCCTGCCTACTTTAGCAAAGCACTCCTAACAATCCGCACAAAAAGCCAGCGCAACACGGATCCACTTTCCCTATCACCCTAGCCGTTAATAAGATCTCACGCATGAATGGGTAGCTCTAAATAGCTAGCTGAGCTATTGTGGGGCTATTAAAATCCAAGACATTCGAATCAAAATGAGAACGAGCTCAATTAAAAATCATCTTTCGTTTTCTAGCTGTTCGAATGGAGGAAGTATTCTATGAGAAGCTCGAGCTCCGAAAAGATGGTGGCCGGCAGAACAATTTGGAACATCTAGCGCAAGCTATGCAGGAGGCCGGCGAGGAATTCGGGCCTTCAACGCCATATGGTGAGTACGAAAAGTAGAAACGACGATTAGTAGTGAAAAAAGCTAGAAAGAGCTCTCCCTAGAAAAGCGCAAGATTACTGGGCTTAAAACTAAAACATTACGAGTCGAGCTTGAAAACTGCAAAAATCCGACCTTATATAATTTTTGCGTTGCTATAAAAGGTATAGTGATCGCCTGTTTGTTTTGCACTAAACCTGCGATGGCCTAAAAGCCATGGTGACTGCTAGAAAAGCGCGACTGAACTAATCTGGGCCTTGGAATATAATAAAATTAGACGGACTTTTAAAAAGCTTCACAACGCATAAAAACTAATACCAATTCAGGCAGCGCCCTCACCAAAGTTGCACACACGGAGCAAAAGCTCGGCCAGACCGAGCGCGAATTCGTCGCCCAATCCGCCAGCCACACGCTTCTCCCCATCAGAAGATTTCTCGAAGGAGACATGCGAACAATCCAGGTAGGCCAATGTTTGACAAATCTCAACAAAACCTCGGCCTCCAAAAGTTTCATACATCATAGTGAATGCTCACCAAGGGTTTTCTTTTCGAACTCCAAAAACGGTTTAACATTTTTATTAACAGGATCAACAAATTAGAGGGACACACGAAAAAATATAATAGAACAACACATTTGCGATAGTGTAAAGAGTTGGGGCATAACAATGTGTGCGCGCGCAGATAGTGATAGCTCGAAAAATCTCGACGGGTCCACAAATATTAGGTGTGTGCGTGTACGTGTTGGGGTGAGGGCGGCCGGGGGACGACGACGACGTTGGTGGCGGCTAGTGTTGTTGCTGGTAGTGCTTGTCGCGCTTCGGCGGTTGATCCTTCGGCGTGCTCGGCGGCGTCATGCCCATGCCCGGCTTGTTGTCTAAACACAGGAAAGTTAAGGGCAATAATAAGGCATTACTCACTATATTTTCGTTGAGACTTCAGCCGGTTGCCGCTCGAGCTGCTCTTCTGTGCGTTGCTGTCGCGGCTGTAGTGGCCCTAGAAAAAAGTTTTTGCAATGCAAAAACACGACAAGATACAAGGCTCGATTCTTGAGTATTTCCAGGAAGCGCTAATTTTTCCCAAAATTTGAAATGTTTCAGCCTTTTTCGCTTGAAATAGCCCTAAATCATACTAAAAAGCGAATCCAAATTTTGTGCCCTACGAAATTTCAAATTCTCGGAAAAAAATTGTTGCCCCACTTGGGAAATACCAAAGAACGCAAGCGGAAAAGTTTCAAAACGATACCTCGTGACGTCCGTCGCCTTGAACGAAGCCCGTGTTGCTGCTGCTGCCACCATAGGCCGCTTGCTGTTGGGCCAGGTAGGCGAGCTGGCTCATCATCGGCTGGAAGTTGTAGTTGCCGTCACGCGGGTAGGGTCCGGTGTCGTGGCCGGGCGGCGTCAGATGGTAGTAGTTCTGGTAGAGGAGCGGGGCCGTCGCCTTAAAAAACCACATTTGGATCACCGAAGAACTCTTCCGAAAGCATGATAAAAAAAATGCAAAACATACACCGATCGGCGTCGTGGGCATGTTGTAGTACGCGTGGCCCATCACCGGCGATCCGTGTGGCACCAAGGGCTGCATGTCGTTCGAATCGGCCGAAGGGGTCGACTGGGCGCTTCGCGGCGTAACCGGACCTAAAAACAGTAAAACCGAAGAAAAGCTGGTGTACCTGATGAAAAGTCGTAATTCTGGCTGGTTTGCGTGTTGGGCGAGACGACGGGCGCTTCTGGGTGGTAGTTGGCACTGCTGACGGGCATGGCGAAGGCGGTGGGCTGCGGGAGACCGAGAAGTGCGTACGGGGCCGACGTCGGGAAGATGTAGTGGAAACCGCGGCTGGGCTTCTCCTCGCCGTCCGGTGTGATTATGTTATAGTCTAAAGCAGAAAGTAATACCAGAAAAGTAGCCATACCTTGAGGTCTTATTTGGTGAGGGAACTTGCGATAGGCCACACCGACCTTCAGCTGGCGTCCCTTCAGTACGAGCTTCTCGGGTGGCTGTAAAAAAACGGTGAAAGAAGCCGAAAGAATGTTTACCAAATTGCGTGCAGCGTCGGCAGATGCGACGTCGTTGAAAGTGACGAAGCCAAAGCCCTTCGAGGCGCCAGTGTCTTGGTCGCGCACGATGCGCACTTCCCTGATCTCGGTTTGAGTGGCCATCAGGAGCACTTGACCCAGCTCGCTCTCATCAACCTGAAACAGACATTTTACAGGGAATGATAGAGAAAGCTAAAAGTAATGATTTGAGCAGGCGAGGGCCCCTTTTGTTTCAAAACTGAAGTAAAAAGCGACAAAAGCGCGGGTTAAACGTCATGAAAGAAAGATGCAGAAGTTAGAAGTGGGAGAATTGAAATAAGAAAACAAACTTACATCTGGTGCAAATCCGCCGACGAAAATCTTGGACGGCATCAGCTGGTGCTTTGCGTATATCGGGCAGTTGGGGGCGACGAGCTTGAAACCTTCGTAGAGGGCCGTGCAGCTCGAGGTGCTGACCGCGGACGGCCGCCTTGCTGTCTTCATAGTTAGCGAACCGGGGCTGAAAAGAAAAGATTACTTTCGAAGTGTGCGACAACGCGAAACGCAACAAAACAAGGATAATGGAGCATAAATTGTTCTCAGACAAGACTGATAAAATAAGAATCTTCTAAAAAAAGTGATGACAACTTTTGATGCTTGGAAAGGGGACGAAAGTACGAAAAGGAAAAACTTCGTTGAAAAAAAAACGAGAAAAAAATCTGATCGTTTTGAAAAATGATGGCCGGAAAGCTAAAGTTGACCCCCTCTGGTCCCACAGCGAAAATTCCACTAGACAACTGATCGTAAGGTGTAGCATAATCTACTATATATAAATTTCTAATGTCCGTGATCCCGACCGACCGCCCGACCGGGAATTCAATCCCACCGCGAACCCCCTGAATACCGTAGTCGGGGGCTGAAAATTTTCACCGGAGCCGCAGCGTTTCGCCTTTTTCCCCGAAAGGGCCAGGGTAGAAAAAATATCGTTTCAAAGGGTATTTTAGCCATTCCGAGGTTTTAGGATGTTTTTTATTATCTAAGAAGGGGAAATAACTTTCTTTCAAGGGTATCCTAGCCATTACGCGTTTCCTAGATGTTTTTTTTAGTATCGAAGAAGCGGAAATAACTTTCTTTCAAGGGTATCCTAGCCATTACGCGTTTCTTAGATGCTTTTTAGTATCGAAGAAGCGGAAATAACTTTCTTTCAAGGGTATCCTAGCCATTACGCGTTTCCTAGATGCTTTTTTAGTATCGAAGAAGCGGAAATAACTTTCTTTCAAGGGTATCCTAGCCATTACGCGTTTCCTAGATGTTTTTTTAGTATCGAAGAAGCGGAAATAACTTTCTTTCAAGGGTATCCTAGCCATTACGCGTTTCCTAGATGTTTTTTTAGTATCGAAGAAGCGGAAATAACTTTCTCTCAAGGGTATTCTAGCCATTACGCGTTTCTTAGAGGTATTTTAGTAACTAAGAAGGAGAAATAACTTTCTTTCAAGGGTATCCTAGCCATTACGCGTTTCCTAGATGTTTTTTTTAGTATCGAAGAAGCGGAAATAACTTTCTTTCAAGGGTATCCTAGCCATTACGCGTTTCCTAGATGCTTTTTTAGTATCGAAGAAGCGGAAATAACTTTCTTTCAAGGGTATCCTAGCCATTACGCGTTTCCTAGATGCTTTTTAGTATCGAAGAAGCGGAAATAACTTTCTTTCAAGGGTATTCTAGCCATTACGCGTTTCCTAGATGCTTTTTTAGTATCGAAGAAGCGGAAATAACTTTCTTTCAAGGGGTATCCTAGCCATTACGCGTTTCCTAGATGCTTTTTTAGTATCGAAGAAGCGGAAATAACTTTCTTTCAAGGGTATCCTAGCCATTACGCGTTTCCTAGATGTTTTTTTAGTATCGAAGAAGCGGAAATAACTTTCTTTCAAGGGTATTCTAGCCATTACGCGTGCCTTAGAGGTTTTTTTAGTATCAAAGAAGGAGAAATAACTTTCTTTGAAGGGTATTCTAGCCATTACGCGTGCTTTAGAGGTTTTTTAGTATCTAAGAAGTGGAAATAACTTTCTTTCAAGGGTATTCTAGCCATTACAAGTGGAAGGCTCTTTTGGAGGAGGGGCGTAGGTAGATCACGGAAGGTATTCGCGCCAAGCGGGAAACATACTAAAGAGAATGGGAAGGACCCTGTATTGCCTTGCCCCCCGGGAGGGCCAGTCGATAGCAGCCGCGAAGCGGCTGTTATCGACTGGTGTACACATAAAAAATAAAATAAAACTAAAAAAGGGGACCATGAATTTTGCGCAACGAATTTTGCGCAACTCGGGGAAAACGAATTTTGCGCAACACGCGAATTTTGAGCAACTCCCACAAAACGAATTTTGCGCAACTTTTGGTGAAAAAAATATAAAAGGCTTACAAATATGGTTTTTTCATTGCTTTTCGCTGCCGATACAATAAATGAAGGAATGTAAGAGCTAATCGAAGAAAATTTCCAACACTAGCGTGTTGAATAATGGTTATCTCGTGGATTTTCGCATGGCCGCTGGTTTTCGTGATTTGAACCTGTTTTCTGTGAAATTGAACTATTAGAACGCCTCAATAGTTGTTCTAAGGTCGTTCTTGATCAAGAAAACTACACTGCCGCGGCATATTCCCCATTACCTCGTCGAACACCATATGTCACGCTAGTCGATTATCGTCTAAAAAGCGATTTCGAACCTACTTTACATTTTTCTTACATTAAGTATGGAATACATTATTTTATTTTAATAGAAAACGCTTGACTGACAATGAAACTTCTTGTTATCAACGATTTTAGCAAAAACCGGCGGCCAGGCCAAAATTAACGAAATGACCGTTATTCGGCACGCCGGAACTGAAAATTTGCTTCAATTAGCTCTTACATTCCTTCATTTATTTTATCGGCAACGAAAAGCAATGAAAAAACCATATTTGTAAGCCTTTTATATTTTTTTCACCAAAAGTTGCGCAAAATTCGTTTTGTGGGAGTTGCTCAAAATTCGCGTGTTGCGCAAAATTCGTTTTCCCCGAGTTGCGCAAAATTCGTTGCGCAAAATTCATGGTCCCTAAAAAGCGGTAAAATAATCAAAAAAAATAATGATGATTTCCCGTTTTCAGAAAGAACGCAAGGTGCTGAACAGCAAACGCCTCGACCTCGATGCCTGCAAGAGCCGCTTGAAAAAGGCGAAAACGATGGAGACGACGACTGCCGTAAGTTCAAAACTTGTTTTATAGATCTAACCGCTAGGAAGCATCACTAGTTTTCTATTCTTACAGGGAAATAGCCGCACCACTGGCGGTTTTACCGTAGAACAGGTTTGATAAAGTGTTGTGAGGTGGTGAATAGAATGTGGCCTGTTATTTTAGCGTGGAGAATTCCATAAAAAGCCCAAATTTTAGGCTGAAGCAGACTTGCGAGTGGCCCAGGCCGAATTCGACAAGCAGGCCGAGATCACGAAGCTTTTGCTGGAGGGAATTCAATCGGCACATGTAAGTAATGAAGATATATTGGGTTTTATTAGTCCTAAAGCGTAGATAGGCTGTAAAAAGCGCCAAAAACCTTAGTAAAGGTTCGTAAAGCCAAAATATCCGATGGAAAGGTTGTAGCAGCTGAAGAGAGCGCTTTTACCAATGCGCCGCATTAATTCTGCGCCCAACATTTTCGGTGGGACACAATTTTGACGGGCGCTTGACCGCCGCGGGCTGAATTTATGTGATCCAAAATCGTGCGGTTGTATCAATGGGTATTTTTAGATATCTTGCACACTTAAAATAGTTTCTGCTATAAAGACTATATTTTAAATAACGAAAAACGATAAAGAACATTTCCACATTTCAGAACAGCCAACTCAAATGCCTGCGCGACTTTGTGGAAGCGCAAATGATGTTCTACGCGCAGGCGCATCAATACATGGCCGATTTGCAGCGTGAATTGTCTGGGTAGGTGGTTTAAAAAGTTATACTACAACCTACAAAAGCATGGAACCCTTGTAAATCCGTCGTAAGTTATGATCTCGATGATGCCAGTTAGCTTTTTGAAATTTTTAGGTAATTTTTTGAAAATTGTCGTTTCAGCTGGCGTCATCAACCGTTTAGAAACTAGTATCGAGTAATAGTATGCCTATTTTAGCCCGAACTCAGCCGATTCGCTGTACGACGACACCGGATTCTCATCCCAGCCACCGCCACAGCAATAACTGAAGAAAATGATTATTTATTTAGTTTTTTTTTGCGTGAAAGATATAGTCGTTGCCTTGTGATCCCTCGACTTCTGCCGTCATCGCCTCGACTCGACCTTTTTTGCATTTTGTTTTTTTCTACTTATTAGCTCAACCGTGTTGGGATTCTCGTATGCGATACTTGAATTATTTTCTCGATGGCTTTCGTATTTTTGTGATCGTGTTTGTGAGCTCGAGCGTGGGAAATGGGTATATGTCGGCGGCTCCCCGACATTTGCGGCCCGACCATTTGCGGCCCGACACTTGCGGCCCGACATTTGCGGACGCGACATTTGCGGCCCGACATTTGCGCCCGACATTTGCGGCCCGACGTTTGCGGCCCGACACTTGCGCCCGACATTTGCGGCCCGTGCTATTCACCCCACTTTTCTCAATATAAAATTAAAAAGGGGGTTAGTAAGGGTCTAAAGCATTTTCAGGCAAGGCGGGCCGTCGCTTCGGATGGGCTGCCGCTCCACTCTTTCGAAATCGGGGCGCCTGGCCGCTACGCGCGCCTCAGGCGCCCCGATTTCGAAACCTTGTACGAGCTCGCACCCATCCGAAGCGACTAGGCCCCCGGTGGCACGAAGCCTTATTTTTAGGTCAATACCAGGGGACAAGCTATCAAAACGATTCAGAAAACTAGCCTTCCGGACGGTTAAAAGCTTCAGTTTTGGGTAATTAACTACAGCTTTGGGCCGCAATTGTCGGGGGCGCAAATGTCGGGCGCAAGTGTCGGGCCGCAAATGTCGGGCCGCAACTGTCGGGCGCAAGTGACGGGCCGCAAGTGTCGGGCCGCAAGTGTCGCGTCCGCAAATGTCGGGCCGCAAGTGTCGGGCCGCAAATGGTCGGGCCGCAAATGTCGTGGCACCATGTCGGCTACGCGGGGGGAAAATTTTACGCGGGGGGACGGACTGTTGGGGCCGAGCTAACTATTTTTTTGCGTTTCTTTTTGCTACAAACAAAACTCTTAGTATATTTTTCGACGCTCTGTCGAATGGCACTAAAGAAATTTTGTGAAAATGTCGAAAATGTCGAAAACTCGATTTCCTTCTATGTCCTCCATCGAAACAACGTTTCATACTTGTTTTTGTTATAACTGTTTTATATTACATTATTTTGAGCTAAAATTAAAACTCTTAGTATATTTTTGGATGCTCTATCGAATGGCATCTTTAAAATGTCGAAAAAATAGCGTGAATGTCGAAAACAGCCGCTCAACCCGATTTTCAAAGCTTATTTTTGGATTTGCCATAACTTTTTTATATTACACTAATTTGAGCTAAAACAAAAACTCTTAGTATATTTTTCGATGCTCTATCGAATGCCGCCGCAAAAATTCCGAGAAAATAACGAAACCATCCAAAAAAGCCTGCCTGTCCCGTCCCCCCCCCCCGCGTAAAATTGTCCCCCCCGCTAGCCGACATATACCTGAGAAATGGGTTTGTTACGGTATCGTCTACCGGATCTAAGGTTTTTAAACGTTATTTTACAAGTGTTTTACGATTTTTGAGCCGAAGAACGTTAGCTACCTTGAAAAAGAAGATGTAGCAGGTTTTTAAGAGTAAATTTAGCAATATTTTGCGATCTTTAAACCGTAAAAAGTAAGCTGCCTACGAAATTACGTTTTTCTAACCTAAATATGAGGTTCTAAAAGCTATAAATCTCCTTTTCAAACCCATTTCCCCGATAATATGCCGTTACAACCAAATTTACGCTAATTTAACCGATTTTTAAAACCCCATTTCGCCAGGCTTTACCCAGCCAAAACCCCCAAATTCAGTCGGGTCGCGCTTTCCACAAGGATATTTATTACTTTTTATTATTTTTTTTGCTCGCTGCAATGTCCGGTCTTGCCCCAGCCCCGTAGAAATTAAATTAAATAAAGAGATTCTACTTGATATATTGTTAAAAACAATTAACTACAAAATTCAAACTACAAAATCTAGAATGCTAACCCTCGGAAACACGTCGGTGGTGATGGCGCCTGCGGGGAATAGCTTCGCCTCGAGAATCAGCTCGCCGCCAGGTGGTGGAAAGGTTGATTTTTATCTGGCTTTAGATGGTAAAAAGGTTTCTATATTGTTTACTTAACTATTGATAATATAAAATATAGTAAATAAACATTAATAAATTAATTAGGGCCTGGATCCGGACGACCTATCAACAAAACAGGCCAAAGTTCTGATGGCCTACGAGGCGGTGACACCAAATGAAATCTCGGTGGCGGAGAATGATGTAAGTTTTTTCCCAAGTAGAGAAAATATAGGACTTTGATTTTAAGACGAAAACTTAATCAATGAATCTGATTAGAATTGAATCAATTTCAAAGTAAAGAGTTAATTTTGAAAGCCTAAATTCGATTTTTATACTTTGAATTCATGAAAGATCAATAGAAAGGTGTAGGATTGGATTTAATAAGTAAATAGATAAATCTGGATAGGAATCCTGTTGGTTTCAACTTATGAAACGGTTTTTCAAGAGTGCACTTATGTTCCACCCTCAAAACCTGGAAATTTACGGGAAAAAAATAGTTCGAAAGATAGAGATCGTCTTTCTGATTCCGTTAAAACACTAATTACAGTGCACATAATTATCGTAATCTTACCTTAACGCCCTATTAGTCCAAAAATTCCAGATCCTGATCATCTACCGCCTGCCCGGCATGGACCCCGAGTTTGTGATGGCCGAAAAGGGAGGGAATCGCGGCAAGGTCCCGATTTCCTACCTTGAAGTACTCTAGAAGACCAGTTTCTCACTTTTTTTTTGCATTTATTTCCGGTTTCATCACTTATTCATATTCTCTGTACAATCCCCAGTGTCAGTTTGCTAGTATCTTCTCACCGTGCATTTTTAGAATAATAAATCGTGCAAATAAATGTATAAACTCAAATTTTATCGGCATTTTTCGGGGTTTTTCAGTGCGGTCAGGCACAAATACACATTGGGGAAATTAGGGTATTGATTTTTAATAAGTTAATCGGGGCGACCTGGCTAGCAGAGTGGTCGAAATTTTTCCATTCATAGGGTTTTCGAAAATTTGTAAATAGTATTGCGGGATACGGATATGGAAATTGATCACAAAATTGACGGAAAAAGGTCGCTTATGAGTTAAATTATACCAAAAAAGAAAAGTAATAACTGAAACACGAATTAAAAGCGGTCATATTAAGCTGGTTTGTTCTATTTTTTTATCAGTACATAACATTATAGACACCGGAAATATTGGGGTTGAGATCGGGGCGGGATATCGGAATATTGCGGTTTTATGCTATCGTTTTAAGCTAATGGGAGAAATCGACGGGTAACACAAAGCAAGAATCACATGCGAAAAGTTATAAAAAAGTTGAAATAGACGGAAGGTATCATAGTTATGATATTTCTTGAACAATGATGACTTTGATACCTTCCTGCCCATTTAAAAAAAAAAACAGACCGGTGTCGAGGCGCATCAAAACGCATTTGGAACTCGATATCTATCGAGGAATTTCGGTTTGGAAACTGAAACGCTGAGAAACGTTTTGTTTCGGCAAGCAGATATGCTCGGGGGTTTCAAAAGCTTAAAAAATTGGGTCAAATCAGGGTTACAATTTGCGAATCAGTGACTAGAAGATGATTTGGCTCAAAGACAGTGTTATAAATTACAAAAAAAAAAGCAAAAAGCGTATTTTAATAGAACACATCACAAATTGTGACGCCATTTGGTCACTTTTGCAAAAATGGCTTCAAAAAACGCTGATTAGTTGGATGTCTAAACATCGCTTGGCCGTTTTAATCCTAGGATGGCTCGGAGGGAGGGTTTTTGGCGAAAATGTGGTAAACTGCTGCTCAAATCAAATTGTCGAAAACGGAAGTCGGGATCCTTTGTCTTCGGAGAAGGATTTTCTTCAGCTTCTCGGCTCGTGGGCAGAAATGAGGCTGATATGCCGTGTATGGGAGCTCGCCCTTGATCACGAGGCTTCCGCGAAGGTGGTGGCGATGCGTGGTTTCGGCTGGGAATTTTCTGAAACGACGCGATATAGTAACGTTTTTACTTATTGGGATTTTTTAGGACATTTCAGGACGATTTTTAGACAAAACAACACTACTAACATCCCCTTTCGTTGATTTTTTTCTTCAGGACTTCATTTTTTAGGTCCTTCGATTTAGTAGTTATAGCATTTTGGGTTCTTGAACCTTTTTGATGTAGTTTAACCTATTAATTATGACAAATTGCTTCCTAACTGAATGTCGACCTATGCTGTAGATTCGCACTTTTGCACGCCTGGTAGATGGCAAATTGCCAATTCCTAACCCTGAATTATTGTTGAATTCAAAGGCATAAATCTGCTTCCTAGTAAAATAACACGCTTTACGGCAATTATCTTGATCGCCATCGAGGCTGAAAACGATCTTTGGGTTGAGTACGAAGGTGCGCAAAGTATGCTTAAAATCCTACCCTTCCTTCGCGAATCCGAGCACGACGTCACGGAACTGTGGCAATACTTGGGTCTGGTTGCCGAACAGGTAGTGGAGTTCGTCACCGTGTTGTGAGTCTGCAAAAGCCAATTTCGACGTTTCCGAGTTAAAGCGATTGAGTTCCAAGAAGAAAATTTTACAGCCACTCTCAAAATTGCTTTTTCATCGCGATTCCGAAGCGCTGCAACTTACGGAAGTTATCGTTGCCGGATTTGATCGGGTTTCGCACATCAAAGGTATAGATTTGGATGGCTGGGGGCTTGTCGGCGGCCAGGATTCGTGACACTTCGGTGACGGTTGGCAGATGGAAAATCAGGTCGGTGAGCGCCTGAAAGGAGATGATAGGTGAATTTGCCAATATTGTTCTCTCTCTCTCTCGCTCTCTCTCGCTCTCTCTCTCTCTCGCTCCCTGTGTCTCGCCCTCTCTCGCTCTCTCGCGCTCTCTATCACTCTATTTCTCTTGCTTTCTTTAGCGCTCTCTGTTCTCTTTCACTCTCGTTTTAAGCTTAAAGCCACGCAATAGCCATTCTCACCTGCACAGTCCTCTCGTACCAATGCATGCTCGAATTGTCATCCTTCTTCCCATCCAAGTAGAAATCGACCATTAGGTCCATATCCTTCGCTTCGCTAAGCCCGGCCCAGATCCCAAGCTGGCGCTTGAAGTAGGCTTCGTCCCACGTCAACCCCGCAATGGTGGCTGTGAACAAATTTTCTAAAAAAAGCGTTGGAGAGGGCCAGAAACCTTACCGAAAAAAGCCCATTCGTCAGTGGTGACGCCGATCAGAATGTCGTGTCCACGGCTGCTGCGTTCCATTTGGGCGGGGTGCCGCGGGAAAAAGTATCCATCGACGACGAGTTGCCAATTTTTGTAGAGGTACTGAAAAATTGCGATTATTGCTCTTTTTGTGATTTTAAAAAACCAGTAAACTCCGAAAATTTTGAAAGCGTACCATGTCCGCTCCAATAATTTCGCTTGCCGGCGCCTTCATCAGGCATTCTTTCAGCTCGGCATCAGTTGTGGCCGGAGCGCAGACTCCAGATTTCCACTAAATTGATATATTTTGGCCTTGTTTTGAACCTACGGTATCCATGGCCGGTACAGTATTGGAAGGTCCGCCGAAAGTCCCCTCAAAGCACACATCAACAACGGCCGACATCAGGACGACACGCTTGAAGAGGGCTAAAAATACGGTTTTTTTAACAAGTTTTAAGTTTTTTTAAAGTTTTAAAGGTTTAAGTTTAAAGTTTTTGGGTCCTAAAAAATTCTTGATTTAACACTGACCATGGTTGGTGGCTGGTGAAATGGCTAGGGCGTGGGCGGTGCAGGCTCCAGCAGATTGTCCGATCAGCGTCACGTTTTGGGCATTGCCGCCGAAGCTAAAATGAGAGTCTATTGTTAGCTCGGTTTCTATAACTTTCTATCTCTCTCACTCTCGCTATCTCATTCTCTTTCATCTCTATCTCTCTCTCGCCGTCTCTCAGCGGCACATTTTGGTTTCTTCTCTTTCTCTCTTTTCTCCCTCTCTCTCCCTTTATATCTGTCTCGATCTCACTCTCGATCTCACTCACTCCATCCTTTTCTCTCGCTCTCTCTCATTCACTCCCTGCCTATCTCTCTCCCTCTCGCTCTCGCTCTCTACAGGGTGTCCCAAAAAAAAACCCCCCTCGGCATTTGGCCGTCTTCTATCGGATCGGGGCCAAATTTTTACCAGTGGTGGGGACCCATAAAAACTATGTGCAGCCGAATTTTCTAAGCAAAATATTGTAAAACAAAGCAGATATATTAAAATTAAGGTTAATTTTGCCGATTTCACTAGGATTTTGACGGATTTCGGCCTCGAAATGTTTAGCAAAAATGAAGAGGGCGCTATTTCCTACCCGTATAATTTTTTGGTTTTACGAAAATTACGTGCCTCTTCATTTTTGCTAAACATTTCGAGGCCGAAATCCGTCAAAATCCTAGTGAAATCGGCAAAATTAACCTTAATTTTGATATATCTGCTTTGTTTTACAATATTTTGCTTAGAAAATTCGGCTGCACATAGTTTTTATGGGTCCCCACCACTGGTAAAAATTTGGCCCCGATCCGATAGAAGACGGCCAAATGCCGAGGGTTTTTTTTTGGGACACCCTGTATATCTATATTTCATTCTCACTCTCTCTCTCTCTCTCTCTCTCTCTCTCCCTCTCTCTCTCTCTCTGCGCCTAGCTCCAGATAATTTGTCTCAAAGCTTACAATCCAATGTTCTTGTGGATGAATTCGAGGGCCAGGTGAGAGTCGTGGAGGCCGAGGTTTGGCGTCGAGGTACCGTTCAACGCGAGGAAGCCTGGAAATGGTACTTGCTCAATTTTCAGAACTTCGATTTCCGTTTGGTAACTAGCATCTTAACCTCAATTTTCCCCGGTCTAAGATTGCAGTCCATTTCTGCATCTATCCAATCCTCCTAACTTCGGCAATGTGACGGACATCCGGTGGATAATCCGCCCTTCAATTCCCGCTACGGCGAGGCCACCCGCAAAGTGATCTATACTCGTCCGCGTCCCGAATTCCGTTATAATCCGTCCCCCGGGGCACGAAAAGTACCGAACGGTCTATGATGTAAACAAGGAATGGTGATGGGCTTCTTCTGGATACGGCGGGTGTCCCTACCCGATCAGGGTCCAGGAAAACAGGATTAGTTCACCGGGTTTTTAGGGCCCGAATGGGTCGGCGTCAGAGGGCAACACGTTTCAAGGAAAACCCGGAATGGGTTGGATCTTTGCAAAAAAATTAGTCTATGGTTTTTGTTTCGGACGGTTTCACGTTTTCCTTAAGGATCTTTGCTAGTTTGCCAGGCTTAGAAATAAAAAGAACGTCGCAAACCACCAGAAGACCCATTAGAACCTAAAAAACGTTTTTGGCGCCTCACGACTTGAAAGCTGCCCTAGGAATCTTTGCTAGCTTACCCCTCTCGCATCCGAAAGCATATCTTAAGTTTCAAAATTGTGCTTACCAAGCGCGCTAAGCCGATACTGGAACGCGACCACAACGAAGCCGGCCATCGCCAGGTTCGTCATGTCCTTTGGCTTGAACTCGTTGCTGGTGCCGAATTTGTAGGCGCCGCCGTGGATGTACACGAGAACGGGCAGCTTTTCGGGGAGGGCTTCGGGGTCCTAAACGGATAAAATATTACATTTTAGGCGGTATTTATGCCACTTAAATATCAGCAAAATGCCCGCAACATACCGTCGGTCCGTAGATGTTCATGAAAAGGCAGTCCTCGCTCATGTTGTGCTTTTTGTAGAAGTCCACTGAAAAATCGGATGTAAGTATGATGCGCTCTACGCTACGGTACACTGCACGCTCTTCTCGCTTTTCACCACAGTATCCCGTTTTCCCCCTTACTTTGTTCACACTCCTGCGGCCGTTGGTCCATCGTCGATTCTCTCCAATTTGTCGCCATCGTTGCTTTCTGAAAATATGGTAATTAGGGCGCAATTTCCGGAAACCGCCTTCACAAGCCCCGTTCATTTTTCCGCCACCCCCAAATACGCAATTTCCCCACCAATTTCCTGTTATTCTCCACAAACAGTTTTCGACACATTTTCTTAGAAGAATTTTGGGGGATTGTTTTTGAAAATTGGCCGGAAATGCTGCCCTTGTGAGGCGTTAGGGGGATTAAGCGCATTTCCGGATTCGGCCGCCGCATCGTTACGGGAAGCTACCGTAGTCGACATTCATAAGTTGCCGGCTAATTTGGAATTTTGATGCTACGCGCGCCTTCCGTGAATGTACAGGTGTTGCTTTTTGTGGGGGGTGGGAAAATTGGGGGCTTACCAGCACCGGAAATTAGGGTTAGGGGAAAATGAATGGCCGTTGGCGAAGTACGGATTTGACCAAGGCATGAATAAAAAATTGGAATTTGGATAGAAGAAAAGAGCATTGAAGGACTTTGGATAGTGTAGCATTAAAAGAGAGAGAGAGAGAGAGAGAGAGCGAGAGAGAGAGAGAGCCGAGCTCCAAGAGCTCTATTATGGGCCATGCATATAAGTATGCTAAGTACGTCATACACCTTTGGACAGCGTTCTTAGGCGCGTATGGAAGTTCCGGGAAACTGCGCTGAAAGTTTCCATGATTCGCTACTGTATTGAATTTATGTCGATGCCTTTAGTGTACCCAAGCTCCGATTGCGAAAAACTGACCTGAAACCGGACGGGTTGCGGAGCGTACCGGACTCCCAGTCTTGCCGAGAAGGACCGGCCGGAGGCATCCGGGCCGATGACGAGACCCTTGGGGAGGGAACTCGAGGCGATGGCTATTAGTGTGCCAAACAGAGCAGAAGTCAGCATTGCTCTGGAAAGGGAATGTAACGTACTATTGCGTTTCGAACCCGCAGAAATTAGAAAGAGCGAGAGAACAAGAAATAAAAAGTTCCATAGAGAGTGAGTGGGAGAAAGAGATGTAGAGCGAAAAGCAGGAGACAGAGCGAGAAAGAGAGGCAGCTCGAGAGAGTGATAGAGAGAGCCAGAGAGATAGAGAGAAAGAGAGAGAGAGAGAGAGAGAGAGAGAGAGTGAGAGAGAGAGAGGCATGAAGATATATACGTCTCAACCGCAAATGCCGAAAACGACGAGCTACTTCCCGGAGCTTCTCCTTCCATCTCTTGCTCCTTATATACCCGTCAGCTACCACCCAAAAACCATAGATTTTCCCGCAGGGTTCAAAGGGAAATCACCGTCTGCAAGCTCAACCTCCAAAATTAGAAATATCATGCGAGAATTCCACCGAAAAACAGGTCTGCCGCGTCAAACCCGAAGTTTCACGCGGCAGACCTTTCGGGTCCGTTAAAAGTAAAGCTCGGAGCAAAAAAGTACAAAAAAACTTCGTGGGATCCTTGATGCTTACGTCAAGCCACCTGTCGCTATTTCGGAAGACAAAGTTTCAGGTGCGTGGGTCGCAAAAAGGTGGGTTGGAAGGAGCGCCACCGTATCCCAAAGCCCCGGGGGAAATTACCACGCGCCCGGGCGGCCTCCGGTGGAGTACTATTTCCGGAGGAGAGAGCGAGAGTGAGAGAGATAGAGAGAGCCAGAGAGAGAGAGAGATAAAGCGAGAGATAAAGAGAGAGATAAAGAGAGAGAGATATCCCGATTCTCGATTTGGATAGGAAATAGGGGTGGAAGCGGGGATGATCCCGGCGTGATATTATATTGCAAAAAGGCATGGAAGGTACACTCATGGATTCTAGGAACGATTTGTCATCTAAAAAACAGTTACGATAGCGTATTGTAACGTATTGTAACGCACTGCGACAACGAAATAGGAAAACTGATAGGCAAAGTGGCTCCAGATATTTAAGATGCTTGTATCCGCAAGCACACAAGTTTTGGCGCCAAGTTTCGCGACCATTTTCAAGCATTAATGATATGCATATCGCCGCTGGGTTACACCCACCAAATTGTGGCGTAATCCGTTTTTGATAGGAAAGGTCTCTAAAAATTAACTTTTGCAATAAACTCCGAATTCGGAATCTCCCTTTTTTTACCCGATGCAGAAAACTGAAAAGCTCTGGAAATACACTTTAGAATCCCCATTTTAGTCATTTATTTAAATATCCAATAGTATTTATTAAGTTCAAAATTCACAAACCTTTTAAGAGCCACTGTTGGCTTAAAAAACGACATTTTTTATATGCTTCTACGGGCAAGTAAGTCAGACATAGTATAGCTTAAAAATTTTGAAAACTTAGCCCCGAATAAATTCTAATTTTCCCTTCATCGCTACTTTAGAGCGTAGCATAGCTACAGGAGGTAAATTCCTAGACACCCTTCCCGGGATGGCCGTCTGTAAATGAGGGCCCAGGGTTCATGATGGGCCCCATTTATACCTAGAAGAAGCTCCTCCCTCTTCTCTCTCTCACTCTCTCTTGCTCTCTCTCTCCAGGGGATTGGAGTAATTTCACCAAATTCTTTCGAGTCATCACTCGTAGTAAATTGCAAAAACCATAAGGATTCCCCCCTTGGGAGTACGGTAAATCCGGTCCACGTGTTATTCTGACAAATACGAGGCCCTACAATGGGCTTTTTGGAACGTGGCGAGTCGCAAAAAAGTTTAATTAACGTGGGGCAGTCGAGCGTTCTTGAGTGATTCTATTGGATGAAGCCATAGGACCACGTCTGAATACCCTGGACGGTTTGTGATCGAAAGGGGTGGGGAAGGGAATACTGTAGTATGGGTCTAAAAGGAGTGAACGAGAGAGTGAGAGAGAGAGAGAGTGAGAGAGAGAGAGCGAGAAAGGGTGAGAGAGCGAGATCGTTGCCTTCCAAGTTCCTTTAAAGAGCTTAAGGTGCGCAAAAGTAGTCTGAAGAGCGAAATATGGGTTTAAAGAAACGACGAAGTCAAATTCTCACGGATATCGATGAATTTACAAAAAAAAAGATTTTTTAGATTTTTTAGCTTCAAGTTCCCTGAAACCCGAAGATGCCCTCGAAAAATCTTATTTTTTTTTTGCTGAACGCCGAACTTCTTTTGCGCCAAAGACAATCTATGGTCCCACCCACCGATCTGATTTACGGCAGGGAATTATTGGCAAATTCAAATCGAATTCCCAGGGTTCATGTTGCCGAACGTAAATTGTGTTCCAGTGAACATTTTTTGTGACCTTTTTGAGAAGCTGATGTCAGGAACGTTGCGCATTCTAAGGTACCAAGATTGATTTCGGTTAAGGAAAAATGCCGTTTTTTGTCATCGTAAGCAAAATGCGAAAAATTTATGGGTCTGTAAATAGTAATGGTCTGTTAACGGGGGGTCGAGAGATTTTTAGCCGGAGGAAAACTCATTAGCTAGCCAGCTAAGGCGGTTTATGATAGCTAGAAGTTGCAAAAAGCTGTGAAATTTCGAAAATTTGTGACTCATTCATTTTTCATACATTTTAACCGAAAAGACAAAGTTTTGCGGACATGTTACAATTTCTATGTGCTTTTACAACCAAAAATAATGTAAAACGTTAGAAATATGGTTTGTATTTTGTTAAAGGGCTATACAGGGTTGCCGAGAGCCCCTAGAAACCCCCTCCCCCCTGCTAACAGTCCAGTGCCCCGTAGATTCGCTCTGTACACCATAAACAAAAATTTCTAGTACGCAAATCCAAGCAGTGACAAACAATACTCGATCCCCTCGGACTCTCCTCTCTCGGATTAGTTCGACCCCTTCGGGTCCCCCTCATCCCCCTCAAATCCTCTCCACTCCTAATTTGCATAAAATCCCCTCCGGCTGATCTCCCCCCTCCTTATCCAGCCCCACTCCAAATCCACGTACCTGATCCGGGCATTGCCGACAAGCCGGGGGTCCGCAAGGCTCGCAAAATATCCGGAAAAAATTAATCCGAAATTGAGGGGTGCCGGGCCGGGATCTATGTACGGTCACTCTTCAGGGTTCGAGGATTATTTCTTGACCCCCGTGGACTGAGATGCGGTTACGGTATGGCTGCCGAGTAACCGGAAATCCGGAGGGGTTGCGATTTTGGGGCGGATATATTGGTTTTTAGGTAATTCAAAAAGTTCATGTGGATACAAGTGAATCGGAAGGCTATTGAGAGAGAGAGAGAGAGAGAGAGAGAGAGAGAGAGGAAGAGAGAGAGGGAGAGAGAGAGAGAGAGAGAGAGAGAGAGAGAGAGCGATAGAAATCGGGACGGGGGGAAGATATAAAATGAGAGAGAAAACGCTAGAGTGGGAAGAGAGAAGCGAGAGAAACCGGGCGAAAGAGAGAGCAAACGAGGGAGAGCGATGGAGAGCGAGAAATAATGAGGGAGAGTGATGGAGAGCTAGGGCGGAAGAGAAATGGAGAGATCTAAGGAGCACGAGCTTTTTTGGAACATCAAAAGTACAAAACCTATCGTGACTTTCCTAAAAAAAACGCTGAGTTTTCGGCCGGGAGCATAAATAAACCCACTGACCTTTGCTTCAGAAAATCCCCCCAAGTTCCACCGGCCAATTTCAAAATTTCGCCCGGATCTGATATTTCCTCCGAGGCGCCTTTTATTCCGCTAATTAATCAGCGGTTATGGCCCGGCGAATCCGGGCTTTTCCGTCTTCAGCAGGTCAAAAATAATTACAGGCTGCGACACTATTTTTTAAGCGGCTGACAGACCGCCGAAAAAATGTGATACTTTGGAGTTTTGAAATTAGGGGTATTTTTACTTTAATCTTTCTATTTTTAGGAAAGAAAATCTCAATGGCTAATTTTTAAGACTCTCTAGGAACACACCAGCTACCGATTTAGATTTTTATAAAGCGTACAGGAAAGTCCAGAAAACGGTCATTTTCCAAAGAAATATCCTTCGTTTATTTTTACCCTTGATTGTGGCCCGAAAATTAACAGTTCAATCCCTCATTCTCAAAATAACCTGCAAAAATAAATTTTGACAACTACGTAGTAATACCCTGGGGACGCACTAACGAAATAACGACCCAGGACGCCAATCCCCTCGTGATATCCTGGTATGCCAGGTTTCGAGGTATCCAAAATCTTCTTCCAAGCCTTAATTTGGGTGATTTCAGCTTTAAATGGAAAATCTGGAATCAAATTAGGTTACTACAGGGAATTGAAAAGTCGTAGTATTCGGAAAAAGCTCGAAAAAAAATGAGAACTAACAAATTGCATTATTTTAGGGTTGTTATAATCGCAAATTACTACTGGGAATTCGATTAAATCAAGTTTTTAGTCAAGAAATAGAGAATACGGTAATTTCGGTAACCGGAAATTTGATCGAATTAGGCTAGTCGGAAGAGGTGATGCTTCAATTCGGAATGGAAGGGATTATCTTGAAAAACCAGAACTGAACAAATAAGCTAAATTAGGGGTACGGTACTTTTGCAATATCGCGGGGGGGGCGATTTTTTCTTTTTTTTTAATTCCAACACTATAACTTTTCCGACAAAGTGCACAAAATGGATCTTAGGACGAAGGTTTGGCTTTAAAAAAATGTCTTGGTTTTAGGTTAAATTTTTACCTTTGAAATATTTTGTTGAAAAATTTTGAAATAATACAAGAAATAAAGAAATAATAATAATAACACAGATAACTTGTTTGCGGATGACTTTAATATGGATTACGATAAACAACTTTAAAAATGAAAAATTGAAAAAACCATCAATAGATTATTTATAAAAACCCGGTTTTTACAAAACCGATTTCTAATTAAAGTTCCCGGAAATATACAAAACCATTAATTCCTACAGTAGTCAAAACAAAAAAGCACGAAAAACAAAATGAAGACTCACCGTGTTGCTCTCTGAAGCGTAAGGTCCCTGAATCAGCTCCCCGAAAGAATCAAAGCCTTTTTCAGGGTAATAA